TGGACACGCCAGAAATCTATGATTGTGGGTTTGAATCCCGGTTCGCCCTGATTATGTTTCTAGGTTTGTCAGCACCATACCCGTGGTCGCGGGTTTCACCGAAGTGGTAAACGTCTGAGACCTGCATCACTTTGGGCTTTCCTCCAACATTAAGCTGACACGCCGTGATATAACTGCAATACTGTTAAAAGCGGCGTTAAACCCAACTCACTCATGTGATTATAGTTGACCTGTCGTGGCTGGTGGGTATTGCTACACGCAGCCTTCCAATTGTGTTTTCTTTAACTTGTTGAGTAGTATAGATACTCACCACTAAAAGAAACGCGAACCTTAGACACATATAGAGAAGTATGTACGCAAAGAAGAGATGTTTCCAACGTGTACCACTTAATGACATAATTAACAATCAGTCAAGTATCACCACAGTATCTTTATTCATGTCATGATATGCTGCACGTGATTTCCAAAAACGCTAATCCTGCACGAGACAAATGGTGCATCTCGAGTCATGGATCTATGACGTCACATGTGATGCGTTCATGAGCATCGGTTCACACAACATACCATCACGTTCGTTTGTGCATCAAACCAATCTAATATCTCTTGAATATGAGTAATTCTTCATATATTAACCAACATGCATGGTATTCGCGTTTCCTTTGTCGGTGAGTATAATACTGGGAGCTATACTCCCCAAAACCCATGGTCCCTCACTGTGGTTTATTGCTATACCAGATAACATGGAATCCAATTCTAAGTTCGATTTGGTTTGTTGTTTTACGCCGCACTCAGCAATATTACAGCTACATGACGGCGGTCTGTAAGTAATCGAGTCTGGACCAGACAATCCTGTCATTTACATCATGAGCATCGATCCACGCAATTGGGATCGATGACATGCATCAACCAAGTCAGCGAGCCTGACCACCCGATCCCGTTAGTCGCCTCTTACGACAAGCATGGGTTGCTGCAGACCTACTCTACCTCGAATCTTCACGGGCCCATTTGTGTAAGCCCCCGTGAAGATCCGGGTTAGAATCAGCAACGCATACGTGTCGTAAAATGCGACTAACGGGATCGAGTGGTCATGAATCGCGGACTTGGTTGATGCATGCCATTGTATCCTAAATGCGTAGATCGATGCTGACGATGTCAATCACTGGATTGTTTGATCCAGAAACAAATATTTACAGACCTTCGTCATATAACTGGAATATAGTTGAGAGCGGCGTCAAACAAACAAACCAAACAAATCATTTGTGAAAGAGAACCCAACATTTAGACAGGCAGTTTGCGCGATATACAAAGCTGGCAACCATGTGCAGGTAACAACGCCACTGTCACGTGGACACTGCCGCACGCTATGGTCACTACTTACTAGGAGATGTACTGAGGCAATCGATTAACTTATAAATATCAAGATCAATAAGTGAATACCAGTTGTTGTTATTGTAAGTGACAGCCAAACGAATGAAGCGTTCGTAAAATGTCAAGCGCTATTGTTGCCAGATTGTTTTTTTATTAGCGGTCTGTGGCAACTAGAATGTTTAAGAGTTATCTGCCGTTGTGTATAAACCACGGAACAGACTAGATCATTCGAGAGGCTTCGTGAGGTGACAGGTTCTTGAAGGCTGTATGTACCTGTATGAAGAGCGAGACGAGGAAGATTCGACGCCCTCTACTACCTGACCTTTCTACTTGCCGGTTTCCAACACGGTTTCCGGAATTCGAGAACGAAGCACGAAGCATTCAAGACATTCAACTGTGATAAATTCGTTCGTTTGTTGGTTGTTTAACGCCGAACTCAGCAAGTTTCCAGCTATATGACGGCTCGTGAGCATCGATCATAGCAATTGGGATCGATGACATGCATCAAACAAATCAGCGAGCCTGACCATCCGATTCCGTAAGCCGCCTCTTACGACAAGCATAGTCGTCTTTTACGGCAAGCATGGGTTGCTGAAGACCTATTCTACCCCGATCTTCACGGGCCCATTTGTGTAAGCACCCGTGAAGATCCGGGTTAGATTTGAACATCAGCAACGCATACGTGTCGTAAGAGGCGACTAACGGGATCGGGTGGTCATGGATCGCGGACTTGGTTGATGCATGTCATTGTATCCCAAATGCTTAGATCGATGCTCACGATGTCAATCACTGGATTGTTTGGTCCAGAAACGAATATTTACAGACCTGGAATATAGCTCACATAACTGTAATATAGATGAGAGCGGCGTTAAACAAACCAACCAAACAAATCAATTGTGAAAGAGAACCTTTAGACAGGCAGTTTGCGCGATATACAAAGCTGGCAACCATGTGCAGGTAACAACGCCACTGTCACGTGGGCAATCCAGTGACTGACATCATGAGCATCGATCCAAGCAACTGGGATACGATGACATGCATCAACCAAATCAGCGAACCTGACCACTCGGCCCCGTTAGTCGCCTCTTACGACAAGCACAGTCGTCTTTTACGGCAAGTATGGGTTGTTGAGGACCTATTGAACCCCGGAATCTTCACGGCTACCATACATGGGTACAGTGTGCGAACCCTTTTACTAGTGTTCCCTTTCGAGATATTGCTGGAGTACTGCTGCGCAAACCCAGGGTAGCCTAGTGGTTAAAGCGTTCGCTCGTCACGCCGAAGACCCGTGTTCGATTCCCCACATGGGTTCGATGTTTGAAGCCCTTTTGTGGTGTCCCCTGTCGTGATATTGCTGGAATATTGCTAAAAGCGGCGTAAAACAAAACTCACTCACTCACTGACTAAAACCATACTCGCTCACTTGTAATTTGATGCATCCAGGTGGTCACAATTTAAAAAAAAAGAAAAGTATCAGGCCATGCCAACTATCCGACTACTGTAAACAAACTAAATAAATTTCGCCATGAAACAGTTACAGTACAATAATAAAAAAAATAAAAAAATAAAAACTTCTTCTTGATCATAAGAAATATCTGCTAAAAGCAGAGATTCGGACTATTTTATAAGCATGTGTTTAAGAATCACTATTAAATAGTGGTGATACCACTTCTTCCCGAAAAGATAAGCGTATCCTGCCCAACCGGTGGCTCTCGTCACAAACACATACAAAGCAAGTCAATTTTTCACCTGAAAAAGCACGGTAACATGACCTGTCGAAGTCAAAATAGGGAATTGCATCGGATACCATTTTGGTCAATGATGCGTCAATGTTGGAAATGTCCTAGTAGAAATAGCATGCTCGGTTGCACCTCAAACGTTGTGAAAGCACTTCAACAATTATGAAATGTAGACGCCAAAGGCTGGAGCTGGACAGCCTGGTTCCCTCGGTATGCTGCGCTGGCGCAGTGTAGCGCCAGCGCAGTATACCCAGGTAAACAGACTTTGAGGGAAAGTTGGCTGTTGAAAGGTTGAAGTCGTCTTTCTTGTGGATGAGTTTTTTGTCATTATGGATCTTTGTACATCGATATAACTAAACAGATGAGGCGGTTTCACTGATTTCTTATATTTCTAGTTCAGGTGGGTAAATCAGTGGAAGGGGCGTGGTTATTTTACAATAATCGAGCATCAGATTATGGATATATCTGAAGCTTCACCGCTTACGTTTGATGCAAATTGTGTGAGTAGCGGGTGCTTCCGGTAGGGCAGGATATGCTTTCCCTTTTCGCGAACACCTGGAATCATCACTGATTTTCAGTGGTTCATTCATATAATTTGTCACCGCTATTTTTGCCAATGGAATCTGTTTCGACGGATAATCGGAATATTCTCTGGCGTTGCCGTTTCACATTAAACTTCTTGGCCAAATTCCCATTTTTAATTTTGCCAATCCAAGAAACACGCCCGTTCATATTTTCAGGAGATAAACTACTGTCTTTTCAATGTATTGTTAATTTACCTGTAGATTTAACAGCGCAAAATTTAATTTGGAACCGGAAGTGATGTTTCAATCAAAGGTGCGTTTTGTGATATAATACCTCCGACTGACCAATCAGAATCGAGTAATTTCCAAATTCAAGGAGGACGCATTTTCTACACGTTTCGTATGCCGTTCTGTTACGTGACGTCCATTTTTCTGCTTTTCCAAATCGTGATTGCAGCAACGATATCGGTGAAAATAAAATATTAATGACACTAACTGGTTTGGTCAATAAATACTAATACAGAAATGTATGTATGAGTCCAGTAATTTGTTGAAGAAACTCACATAACAATGCAGACATTGACTGTGACATATATACCTCAAAGTGTCTGTTAACATGAACTTGGTACACGTGGCATAGGCGTTAGGCTCAGATACAACAGAAACAGAACTGTTGAATAGGACTTCGCGTTTGTTTACATTTGTACAAACATGACAATGTATGTGGTATGTGGTATGTGGGAAGACCCGGGATAGAATAGGTCTTCAGCAACCCATGCTTGCCGCAAAAGGCGACTTTGCTTGTCGTAAGAGGCGACTAACGGGATCGGGTGGTCAGGCTCGTTGACTTAGATGATCCATGTCATCCCAATTGCGTGGATCGATGCTTGTGATGTCAATCACTGGATTGTCTGGTTTAGACTCGATTATATACAGACCACCGTCATATAGCTGGAATATTGCTGAGTGCGGCATTAAACAACAAACAACCAACCAAAACAAATGTGGTCAGAAACATCAGTTAAATAGAACAATATCAGTGGTAATTGTTTTAAGAGAAACTACCTAACTTCTGTACCTCTAGAGTGAGCAAGTTGGCTTAACGGCAATTATAACTGCATGTCATTAAGGACGCAAACTTGACACGACCATCAATGTGGTACCTGACTGACATGTTTTCACGTGCTTTCATCCGTATATATCTAGGGTTGATCATATTCATCAATTTTCTGAGGTTCGTCATATCCAGCAGGTATCTGAGGTGTTGGTCATATTTGGCAGTTATTTGGGGTTGGTCCTATTTTCAAACTGGGGTAATTGAATACCTTTGCAATATTGTTGTGTGTCATGAAAAGAACAAACAACAAAACGTCATGGCACTGATTTATTGAGAAAACTTTGTCAAAAGCAGAAATCTTATCTCATCTGTTCTGACCACATGTTCAACAAAGCGTGTTCAGTTTAACTGCTTCTGAGACACAACACAAACATTTATGACCTGTACACATTTTGAGTCCTCCACACGCGGGGCTGGCTGTATTGCTTCCCAGCCCCAACCAAGCGTTCTCAATTCGTGAAACGCCGTGATAAGATATGGACACCCATGCAATGTGCTTCATTTATTCTCACCCACGTTCTGGGCTGACCGTTGCTACAGCACAGCCCCAAACGGGACACTTTCATCATTTTCATCCACACTTCTTCTTTTTCTTTTTCTTTTTACATTTTTTGTTACCATTTGTTTTGGTGTGCTCGTTATCATTGTCAGCATCAACTCCGGCATCGGGCTCCGTTGACTGCACTGATATTTCAGCAAGATCTTCAACCTTTTTCTTCTTTTTCTTTTTGGATTTTTTCAATTTAACCACATCTAAATTAGCGTTTGTTGGATCGGCTTTGTATTTCTTAAACGAATCTGACAACGTTGTGTCTTTGAATATAAACTCGTGTGACACGGCTGCTGAGGCTAGTCTTTCATCTTCCGAACTGCAAAATACAAGAGTGAGTGAGTGAGTTTGGTTCATTTGTTTGTTGCTTAACGCCAAACTCAGCAATATTCCAGCTATATGACGAATAACGTATAAATAATCGAGTCTGGACCCGTCAATTCAGTGATTGACATCATGAGCATCGATCTACGCAATTGGGATACGATGACATGCATCAACCAAGTCAGCGAGCCTGACCACCCGATCCCGTCAGTCGCCTGTCACGACAAGCATAGTCGCCTGTTTCGGCAAGCATGGGTTGCTGAAGACCTATTCTAACTCTGATCTTTAGGGTTCGAGTTAGGCTTAACACCTCTTTGAACAGTATTTCAGTTATATCACGGCGTGTCAGCTTGATACAGGGTGAAATCCGAGGTGATGCAGGTCAAAGACGTTTACTACTTCGGTGATACCCACAAGGACGGGTTTCATCATCACACCTAGAAACAATCCGTGTGAAACGGGATTCCGGCACATTGCAACATACTTGAAGCCAACGTGAAACTCCACGAACACCCACAACTCGAATAAGACCTAACTAAAATAGTTAGATTTTTATGCATTTCTTTTTCACAAATGTCAGGGGGCATTAATAAGTTACAAATTTCATTTGTTTTAAAGGTGAGACAAGAACAATTGAACAGGCGATCTGCTTCGACAGTAGGCACTTGAGGACAACACAAATAATGCCAGGAGAGATGTATGTTAGTAAAGTGAGCAGGACATGACAATATAAACAACTACTAATATTTCTTACGGCATAAGAAGGAATATATAATAGTCCCTTTTTTCAATCTTATGCCGTGATAAATTATATACCATGGTTTACCTACCGCTAAACAAAGATCTGAGGACACCCCATTACAGGTCACGCCAGACCGACCAATGGAAGAATGACTGACAAGAAGTCAACATTAGCCAATCAGAAGACAGCTTTCTCGTGCTTTACGGCACTAATTTCAAATTGGCGACTACGCTTCGAAACATATTTTGACAAATTCTCGATTAAAAAATTGAAACCTGAACAAAAGAACATTCTGGAATGGCTAATAGATGGTCTAGATTGTATGGATTCAGTCGTTAAGCCCGTAACTATCATTCGGAATACCCTGTGTTAAAGTTTTCGAGGTTGCATGATTAGAAATCACCTTCCGACTATCACTTGCATTATCTGGTAAGCGACGCTCTGGTTGGTCTGATGAAAGGTCGTTCTGACGTTACCCCTACCGGGATGTCCTCAGATCTTTGTTTAGCGGTAGCGAGAACTAAGATCTGATTTTAAGGGGATTGATGTATGGCCAGGCTTTTGATCGTATTTTGACCGGAGCGTTTATTGAATAAAAGCGTCTCTCTGTCAAAAAATGGACAAGACAACTGAAAACACATTCCATGTCCCCCAGGACTTCACGAAAGTGATTCAAAAACAAATTCATGTAGGATTTACAAAAATATTTTTGTTTATTTGAACAATGTACATGATTCATCAGATGCAAGGAATCGTTCTCTCACACGGCCCACTCACAAGTGTTCGTGCATTACACCTTGTTATATAGTCTATATTATTACCTGTCGCTGGAACTACTTTCAACAGGGCGTTTGGGGACACATTTCCTCACAGGGGGTCGATCCTCCAAGCTCACGGGACGCGTGCAACTTGCAAACAGACGGACACCTGCAATGGAGGTAGCAAACCAAGCTCGATTGGTCTCGGCGGATCATAGTGGTCCATTTTCAACTTTTACTCTCGGCAAACGACTGTCGCCTTGAAGATGGAGAGTCATTCCAAACCAATTTATTGCCAAAGATTCAACAGCCACACTCGCTGTCATTGCTCGCCATTTCCGTGTATTGCGTATTTGAGGCAGTCATTGACTGATATCCACGGGTTAAGACTTAAAATAACACGGCTTAATTAGTCACATTGGAGAAACCTTTCTGCCAAAGACAACAGTGCAGTTAAAACTACCAGGGTGCCATTGTACAAAGCGATCTTAGCGCTAAGGTTGTCGTTACTATCATACCTTAACATAGACTTACGACAGTCGTAGCGCCAAGGTTATTTTGTACAACGGCACCCGGATGGGTAGGAAAAGCCCGTGAAGAAAAATAAACACCCCAAACAGCAGGATAATGTTGCCTTTTTGTGGGATAAAGTATCACTTGGCATGAGCGCTCGATGGGAACCTTTCCAAGTGAGTGAGTGAGTTGGGTTTAACGCTGCTTTTAACATCATTCCAGTTATATCACGGCGTGTCAGCTTAATGTGGGAGGAAAGCCCGAAGTGATGCAGGTCTCAAACGTTTACCACTTTGGTGAAACCCACGAGCACGTGTATGGTGCTAACAAACCTCAAAACATAATAGGGGCGAACCGGGATTCGAACCCACAAACATAGATTTCTGGTGTGCCCAAGGGACGCAACTCTACACAGCGAATCGCGGCGCCTTAGACGACTGGGCCACACGTGCCCCCCACCTTTCAAAGACTTTAAACTTTTAAATAGTGCAGATATTCACAGCTAATAGATGTGTGTCAAAGGATGTGTAGGAAAAAAAGACCTGTAAGTTGTTCGTGTAAATACGGAGGCGTGAACTAACCGGTGTCTGGCGCCCCCATGTCTGTGGCTGTAGAAGAACTGGGTGTGGTCTTCGTTTCATCAACTTCTATCATACTGCAAAAAACAATCCCCCTCAACGTCATAAACTACTGATACCAATAATAGCCCTGGGACCACATGTACAAAGCGCTCTTAGCGCTACGGCATTCGTAAGTCTATGTTAAAGTATGCGAGTTACGATCGTCGTAGCGCTACGGCGCTTTGTGCAAGTGGGCCCAGTTCCAGCATACGGCGTTAGCGGGATGCAAATTTCGGTAGTCAAGTTCAAGAAGATCCCGCTCCACGAAGCGATCTCAACACTGCGACTATCGTTTAGCCCATTCTCCGTCATATATATAGATTCGCGCAAAGATGCGCTATGAAACTGGACCCAGAATATGTTGAACAGACAATCGAAACTGAACACGACCGTCGCAACTTTCAACCTTCTTATTTGTTTTAAAGAAGTTGTTATTTTATTTTAGAGTGGAACACTAAAGTGTACCTCGTTGAGTGTCATTCTAGCTTGTGTTATGTTGCAAACCATATATACTCACCGCCAAAAGAAACGCGCACCATAGAAACATGTAGAGAAGTATGTTCGTTAAGAAGAGATGTTTCCAGTGGGAACAACTTAATGACAAAACTAACAATCAGTCAAGTGTTACCACAGAGTGTCTTTATTCTTATCAGGATACGCTGCACGTGATTTCCGAATTTTACACGCTAAACCTGCACGAGACAAATTGTGCATCTTGAATCATCGATCTATGACGTCAGGCGTGATGCGTTCGTGAACGTCGGTTCACACAACATACCAGTATGCTCCTTTGTGTATCGAACAATCTAATATCTCTTGAATATGAGTAATCCTTCATATATAAACCAACATGTATAGTAATCGCGCTTCTTTGTCGGTGAGTATATAAACAAATAGAAGACCATGAATCTTTCAAATTAGGACTTATATCACAAATTCAAATATGGCTCAGATGTTACTTCCACAAAACAACTAAAATCAAAAAAGCTAAATTCACAAAACTTAACTAATGCTTTACGGCTTTTTTAAAAAACACATCTGTGACGTCATTCTATTGTTTGAACGCTCCATTATTTTTCAGGAATGGAGAGTTGCTTGTCAACTGTACATTATCTTGAAGCAGCATTTGAATTTTTCAAATATTTTCAATTACAGAATATTTTGTCAAAGTGTAAAAGTAGGGATGAGTTTTAAGTAGGGGAATATCCTCGTAACTCTCCATTCCTTAAAAATAATGGGCCTTTGCCACTGCGGGGCCTCTGCTCAATTATTTTTAAGGAATGGAGAGTTACTGGGACATTCCCCTCTACTTAAACATTATGACGCCAGATTGTTGTGAAGTTATCGCCTTTTAATTTTAACACACCTGTCCACAATCTGCGACAGTTTCTTGCCAACAAACGCCCTGAATTCCGGCGTTGTGTTGAGCTCATTCTTCAGCTCCTGGCCCTCCTGTCTTGATGGTCTGGTGGGGAGAAAATTAAAAACATAAAACAAACGATTGTGCGAATAATCAGACAGGTCCCGGCGACACAGGACACGTACAAAAGGCCAACAACATCACGTGACAACGCTTACGTTCAACGTTTCGTTGTTTAACGTCGCACTCAGCAATATTCCATCGATATGTCGGCGGCATGTAAATACTCGAATCCGGGACAGTCAAACCAGTGAGTGATATTATGAGCAACGGCGAACGCCGTCGGGTACGATGGCACACAGGCACTCAAATCAATGAGCCTGGCGACCGGTGAAGATCCGGTTAGAATAGGCCTTCAGCAACCCATGCTTGTCGTAACAGGCGACTAACGGGATCGGGTGGTCAGGCTTGCTGACTTGGTTAATACATGTCATCGTATCCCAATTCCGTAGATTAATGTTCATGATGTCAATCACAATCGCCGCCAATAAAAGCTGGAATATTGCTGAGTGCGGTGTTAAACAACAAACCAACCACATGAGCCTGACCACCTGATCCAATTAGGACTGATTTTCAAAATAATTTCTTCGAGAACAAATTATCTGTTCGCCAAAACACATTGTTCGGCGTCATACAAAAACATACGTGTAAACAATCTACAATTGATTCGCTCCTCCATTCACAGAAACATTCGCGTGTTTGAAACAGAGACCGAAATATTTTCCCGTCTCAAACACAAATCCCAGAATATTAAATGATGTTTCTTTGTACGACAAACAACAAGTCGAATGACAGGATATCATGCTGCATGTGTGACCCACACGTCTCCTCGAAACTGGTTGAAGATATGAATGTAAGGATATGTTGAGAATTATATTCTGAGATCAAGTTCATAGTACACTTTATTCTGAGCTCTCCACGCACATCAACTTCATAAAATGCTAGGCTTGGGACCAAAACAATATGTATAAAAGCCACGAAACCAAAGTTGTCGCCAGGGATAATAAGAGCGAGTGAGTCTGGTAGTATCACGGGGAGGGGTACCGCTGCCACAATCCCCGAGAGTGACGCCACCACGTGCCCTTATCTGCATGACGTTGGTCACGTGGTCAACGCCTACCCGTGTGGAGCAAACCAATTGCTCTGGCATGATTTCCAATACTCAGAAATCGACGTATTTATTCACAAACACATGCTTATTGATTTAGTCGAAATCGTATACAATGGACACTGCTTTTAGCAAAGTTTTCTTATGATTATGGAAAGAGCAATGACGCCTATATTCAATACCCATTGTCACCTGCTAATGTTACTATTTAAATGTAAAAATAATCTGTCCACATCAACTTGCACGAGCCGGTAATGACAATCAGTTGTGGTCGGAATTTTGGGACAAAGTCTTAAATTTGTGACAATGTGGTTCACGATTTACCCGATCGTGTACCACTTATCCTTGCCTGAGTAGTGTTTCCATTAATAAATTTGTTTGTTGTTTGACGCCTCAGCAATATTCCAGCTATACGACGACTGTCTAAATAATCGAAGTTCGGACAAACAATCTTGTGATTGATATCATAAGCATCGATCCACGCAATTGGGATACGATGACATGCATCAACCAAGTCAGCGAGCCTGACCACCCGATCCCATTAGTCGCCTCTTACAACAAGCATAGTCGCCTTTCACAGCAAGCACGGGTTGCTGAAGACCTATTCTGTCCTGGATCTTTATGGGTCGTGTTGGAAGTGGTATATACGAGGTACCAGTGCTTCTAATTAACCTCGGATGCGACGAGGAAGCTGCATCCATCAGGATACCTTAGCGACGGCCTCGTACTGACGTCATTGGGTTGTGGCCGAGGCATGCGCCCGCTGTTCTGTATCGACTTGCTGGTCTTCCCATCTGAAATAATCAGACATTTCGTGACTCGCAAATTACAGCAGGGAATGTTACGCTAAAAGGACGCATTAGACTGAACAGCGAGTACATCAATTCCTCTAGCCACGAACAGCCGCGATAGTACCTCAACTGGGCTGTGGGAACAAGCCACTGGTACTATACTACTCAACTTGTGATAGGGATACGGAGTTTTGTTGTTTTACGCCGCACTCAGCAATATTCCAGCTATATGACGGTGGTCTGTAAATAATCGAGTCTAAACCAGACAATCCAGCGATTGACATCCTGCGCATCGATCCACGCAATTGGGATCGATGACATACATCAACCAAGTCAGCGAGCCTGACCACCCGATCCCGTTAGTCGCCTCTTACGACAAGCATGGTCGCCTTTTACGGCAAGCATGGGTTGCTGAAGACCTATTCTACCCCGGAATCTTCACGGGTCCGGTGTGCAAATAAGCAAGTCAGGACCAGACAATCTAGTGCTTGACATCCTGATCATTTATCTACACAATTGGGATACGATGAGATTCATCAACCAAATCACCGAGTCTGACGACCCGATCCCGTTAGTCGCCTATTACAAGTATGGTCGCCTCTTACAGCAAGCATGAGTTGCCGAAGACCTCTTCTAACCCGGATCTTCTCGGGTCGGATAGGGATTATCCAGGTGGGGTCTTACTGTAGCTGATTGCTCGGATACGTTGTCCTACGTATAGTATTCGATATTGCCATGGAACAAAAGCATGTGCAGCTTTATTTCAAGTTGGCTGAACACAAATTCCCAGTTCTTTAAGTTGTCGCGTTACGTCACTTGAAATATCTCTATAACCCTATCAAATATTGAGTGGTGTACATTGAAGAAACATCATGGTTGGTACAAAATACTACAAATAATACTATTCGATAGGGTGTTGGAAATGTAATTGATTATTGCTTTTAACATCAGCCAACCAACCAACAATGCAACAAAGGTGGGATAATATTAGTCAGTTGTCTTCCTGTATGTCAACACATTTCATCAAAAAGTCCTTCAAAGTAGGTCCACGTGCAAAGGGAAAACAAGAGGCTTGCATTTCATTCCTTCGAGTCCACTCGTTTAACAAATAATAATCGCCCATGTATTCCTATTTCAGCTAGATTGGTGTTGAAATAAATTCGCAAATCAGACCAAAGTAATGAGTTATTGATTGAGTTGGGGTTCTTTCCGCTTTAAACAATGTTTCACCACAGCGGTGGGCACTCGGAACGGGCGTCACACACTGTAACCATTGATAACGCTATACACGCGTACAAGATTCAAGTCGAATCTCGTTCAGCACCTCTGAACTCACTTTCGTTTACTGTCCTAAAAAGCAAACAGTAAAAACATCAGTGAGTGAGTGAATTTGGGTTTAACGCCGCTTTGGTTGGTTGGTTTGTTTGTTGTTTAACGCCGCACTCAGCAGTATTACAGCTATATGACGGCGGTCTGTAAATAATCGAGTCTGGACCAGAAAATCCAGTGATTAATATCATGAGCATCGATCCACGCAATTTGGATCGATGACATGCATCAACCAAGTCAGTGAGCCTGACCACCCGATCCCGTTAGTCGCCTCTTACGACAAGCATAGTTGCCTTTTACGGCAAGCACGGGCTGCTGAAGACCTATTCAACCACGGATCTTCACGGGTCTAGTGCATATCGATGAGTGATGACCTATTTTCAAACAGGACATGAGTGGACATGCGTCCAAACGAAGACATTACATAGAAAATGACAGCAGACGGGTAGAGCTCAGTGATTTGAGTTGCCATAAGTCAAACATTTGCGTCAAATATTGATGTGTGGCACGCGATCCTGTGTACAGTACACAGGTCAAAAACCATGCGAAGCAACGTTGGTTGCGGAGAGTGGTTGGATTGGTGACGGTGTTCGGCAGCGTGACTCCTGACAGTTTCTAGGGCTTGAGTCCTGTCCCACACTGAAATCTCTATGGCTCCGTATGAGGCTTTCCTACGCACAGGAATTCTCTTGGGTTGAAATCTGGCGATTCGGGGGTCCATGGGAAGACCTATATACTAGTATTAGGGATGCTGTCGTTTCACGTGTTAAATGCAGTCGGACGTTGTTGAAAGACGATGTCAGCATTTGTCTCTGGTGTTTAGGTTGCCTTGCGCCTGCTTTGTTAACACTACTGTGCTACGACCACATTTGTCGATCCCCCGTATGCAGTTGTGATAAAATCTTAACGGGGACGTCGGTATCCCATCAGCATATACATCGTACTATTTATCTTATTCCGACGTCTCTTCTGGTGGTCATCGCCAGTCTAGATCTTCAAGTTGTTATCAAGGCAATGCGGAATATTTTGTTGTTGAACAACGCACTCTGAAGTAGTCCAGCGCCTTGGTGGCCTATTTTAAATAAAGTGTGGACCAGACTATCCTGTGATTTATATCACTGACATCACGGAGCCAGACCACCCAATCCACCATGTCGCCTCTTACGAACAGCACAGGCACCACGTATTGTTCTTGTTTCGTTGTTTGTTGGTTAATGCCGCACTCAGCAATACCCCATCTGTATGAGGGATGTCTGAAAATAATCCGTGTCTGGACCAGACAGTCCGTTGGTTGAAGTTATGAGCATCTATCTACACAATTGGGATACGATGACATGCATCAACGTCAGCGAGCCTGACTGAAGACCTATTCTGACCCGGATCTTTACGGGAAAATTATTATCCCAACCCGTATCACCACGAGGAGTAACAGAGACTTTGAGACCTTGGTAACCATTTACTGATAATATATATACATATAATAATATATCTATCATATGAACTGACAAGACAAATAAAATGGACTTTATGACTTGAATTACATGTGCTAGGATTGTCATCAAGTCATTGTCTTGTGCCAGTTTGACAACATGGAACTTTTCCTAGTTTTGTTTGCTTTTTAAAGTCGTATTCAGCAATATTCCAGCTATAAAACGGCGGTCTGAAAATAATCGAGTCTGGACCAGGCAATCTAGTCATTGATATAGTAAACAACGAACCACGCCGTTTGAACAAGAGGAAACGCTATCAACCAATCCACTGACCCTGACCACCCGATCCTTGTGGTCGCCCATTACCGACCAGCATAGGTCGCTGGGGACAAAATCTAACCAGAGTCCCCATGATTTTTTCACAATAGACTGATGCGATCATGGAGTTCTTCTCTACAAGTATTATATGTAGTGGCTGGGCGTGGAAATATGTCATAAATATTTATATTACTATCACCCTTATCTCAATTTTAATTCACATAACGCGGTGTTAAGTTTTTAAGGTCCAAGGTCTCGCGGCCTCGTTGTGTTCATACGTATTAACAGTTATGTCTATTTTCAGATGCGATTTCCAGTTATTTAAAATTATTTGGAATATTTTTGTTAAACTGAAAAATAATAAAATGAAATCGTCACCTGAGTCCTCGGTCTGGTTGGCGTAGCCCTACTAACGATGTTTGTCCAGAATACATAATTAATGAACAAATAGATGAAAGTGTGTACAGTTCTCTAATAGATTACTACTACTACTATTACTACTACTACTACAAATCTACATTGTAGCGCAATCACTGTTGGCAAGAATATATATTGATTCATTCGTTAATTCACAATTCTTTAATTGTGTGTTCATATCTTTAATTCTAGTTACACATTTTTAACTTGTGTACATAACACCACGGACTTCTACAGGTCCGTGCTCAGACCATGCAGAGACCATTTATCGGTGTACATATAGTGTCTGGTTATACTCACAACAAATTTGATACAACCTGAGGTGAGGTGAAATTGGGTTTAACGTCGCGTCCAAGATTATTGCACTTATATAGCTACGTGCATGCATGTGTATGTGTGTGTGTGGCTGCTTGTACTAGTCCGGACTGGTGCCGATTTATAGTGCTAGCTCACTGAGATACCATGCCGCAGTTTAACATGAATACCCCACTCAGACACAGTATACTGACTCCGAGCCGACCAGTCCGTGTTTTAGCCCCTTAATGCAGAGCGCGAGACAGGGTAACAATAAGTACAATCTTTTAACGTCTTTAGGTATGACGCGGCCCGGGATCGAACCCTGGACCTTCCGCTCTCCGGGCGGACGCTCTACCACTAGACCACGGAGGCGGTCTGATACAACCTGAAGGCCAACAATCTGACACCCCGACTGTCGGAATAATCATTAGTTCTTTATCAACCAAGACAGTTTTTTTCACAATATATTCATGCTTTGAAGGTTAAAAATAGTCTTTACATTATATTTATTAATTCCCTAAAAACGATAAATGGGGAAACAACAACATACGTACGCGTTGCAAAATATATTTGTTACAGTTCGTATCCATGGTCTAACAATACTTCAGTAAAATAGACAACAAACATTCCGCAATGGGATCACTTGCATCGGTTGCCATTAACAAAGGATCGTCCGTCACAAAACATACACAGTAATGCCATGTGGTCAGCGGGCACTTGTTTCCGCGTGCACAGTGACATCATTTCCAGACAGTGCACATCCGACTCAAAAATGTAGTTCCGAGTATCGCTACGGTTGCACTTTAAAACAGAAAAATACTGACATGATACATACACGATGCTGAAGTAGAGTGGTGACAATCAAGTACAGCCGCCTCCCGAAATCGGCTTGTTTCGTCCTCATCGCTGGACTCCGAGGACGAAACATCACTGACGCGACCGACCGTGGCTGTAGCCATTTGTCGATTGTCACCAACTACAACTTCGTACTCCAGGTCATACGGATACGATTGTAACTGGTGGATTGTGATCATGTGAAATCCTCAAGACAGCTAGTAAAATGTTAAAATAATTATTACGGACAGTGTAACCGATTTATAATAATTATATATTACAGACTGTGTTTTATTGTTTTCTTCCCGTGAGTCATAATTTGGTAAGTTGAAATTCTTTCCGCATTACGATTCAAGTTTTCACATATTCCAGCAAATGCTTTCGAAACTGTTATATTTGGCGTTTTCAACATGCATAAGCGGGCACTGTGTAAATAAAATATGCACTCAACACCATGACATAAATACACACATGTACCACTCCCTTCTTCAATACGGACGAGCGTGTTATTACTCCAAACAAAATTACAATAGATGCGCATTGATTCAAAATTCACCCCTCGGTCATAGACAGGAAGTAGTTTGGAGCGAGGGAAAGACAGCGAATGTTCCTGTCAAACATGTGGAAACGAATATTAAATTGGATGTGTACGCTCATCTGAGGTTGTTTTAATTTATCCAGCAAATCGACAACTACAGAAATGACACGCATGTCCAAGTGATCTGCCCGGGTCGGCGCGAAGAACCGCTTCCGAAACACCGAACAGAGTTTGTATGGTTGACTGAGGCTATCTACATTACATCTTCACGCCGAATCTTTGGGAAATGGCGTACACAACGCTGAACAGAGCTCAATTGAGCTTTGATTATCTGCATACTAATTCGTACGTATATGTTTAAAATGTCAAAGATCATGTTCTATGTATGACAACATAAAAAATAATTTCTGGAAGCTTGACTTTCACGTCTACACAACTGCCAAGATGATGTGCTCCTAGCCACAGTTATTGGTATGAATCGTTGCACTTTGGTGATGATAATTTTAATGATATTTTAACAACTGAGTTTCCAGCAGAATTATTCACAATGCAATATATGAAGTGGAAAACCTATTCGAACTGTTGAAGATGTATTATTGTTCTGTCAACACTCCCAAGTTATGCAAGGGATAGGTTGGAATTGGGTATGGTTATTGGTTAGATATGGAAATTTGTAAAGCTTTTATGTTTATAAATTTTGCCTTTTTGTTGAAAATTTGCTTTGTGAGCTACATAATGACCATATTCACTAATGTCGTTAAATGACAAGTCTTTGTATTATTGTAAACAATACAGAAAATAATTATATGAATTGGCACTTCCACATTACTGGTTTCCTTGTGTTATTTGTGCATTTCTACACTTGGGTGAATATGTCTACGTCTTCAGGGCCTAATTTGTTGTTCAATAGATTAATGGAATAAAAATGAATATTTATAGAAGAATAACAGAATCCTGTCACACTCCTCTGACATCAAATCAATACAGTTATAACAGATGTTATACTGCGTCTATTGATTTTATGGTTAAGATCTTTGCTATTTTGATCCTTTGTTGAAATAATGATCAGGTTCATTGTTCAATCTGTTTGAATATATCCTTATTGTTCACTATGTTCAGAAAGTAAAAGTCACAATCAGCACACCAATATTACTAATTTTGTGTCTGTCACCAAGCACGTGAAATTTTTTTTCAAGAAAATAATAAAACATTATTACCTTGATTGCATGTTTTGCCCGAAACAGATCACTGCTTGCCTGTATTATTGTCCAATTATTTTGTTTTGATAGTCCGATTTGCACATGTGAATGAAACTAAATCTTTTTCAGAACAACCCATGAATTCTTGTTTGGAGCATTGGCAGAATTGCTTGATAATGCCAGGTAAGAATTCAGCAGCTTGTGTTGGATGTTATTTGTCCTATTTTCATGATTTTTAATACTTATCTTTGAACCTGAAATTACTAACTATGAGCATCTGTTTATCTGGTGTATACAATTTACAGTCAATAAAGAAATAATGATGTTCATTTCGCAGTCAATCCTCAATTTCAAATATGCTCAAACATTTATTAGACTTTATTAGCTATTCAAATTACCATGACTACAGCAACATAAAGTGTAGACTTAAGGTATCTGCCAAAACCCTAGAGTTTATGATTGTCTACAGGCGTGAATTGGTCTCTTCACACCATTTCCAGTAGATGTAAGTGTTGATATATGTGGAATATGTCATTGTGTACTTGTACTCAGCTGGTTTTTATATGTTACAGAGATGCTGATGCAACAAAAATCAATATATATACAGGTATGTAACTATGGTGATCAGTAAACAACTGAATAACACCAAGACATTTACTTTTTTCCGGTTCTTGTTTGACATTGTAATTAAAGTCAACTGTAATGTTATGAAATATTAACATTTTAGCCATTTTAGGTGGTTCATGTTGATTGAAATCCTTAAGCAGAACACCTACAAACTTAAGTACTATTATATTAGGATAGATAGTATAATTTGATATGTTTAGTTTTGAAGTATATCTAAAGTGTCTGCATTTGATTTTTAGCCAAGGACAAAGAGCTGCGAGGTGGCTTTATGATGTGTTTCCTTGACGATGGAGAAGGCATGGACCCAAGTATGTGTGATTACTGAGCTGGAAACTTCCCAAACATTTAAGCATTGAGACAGTTCACCTTCAGCATGCTCCACCCAATTACTTCTAAGCTCATATTGGGGGTATGGATGGCCCAGTTGTCTAAGGTGCCGCGATTCGCTGTGCAAAGTTGCATCCCTTAGGCATGCCAGAAACTTATGATTGTGGGTTTGAATCACGGTTCGCCCCGATTATGTTTCTAGGTTTGTCAGCACCATACCTGTGCTCATGGGTTTCACCGAAGTGGTAAACGTCTGAGACCTGCATCACTTCGGGCTTTCCTCCCACATTAAGCTGACACGCCGCGATATAACTGGAATACTGTTAAAAGCAGCGTTAAACCCAACTCACTCACTCACTAAGCTCATATTATTGTTTAGGCTCCAAACTCCTCGTCAGATAATCAGTTAACACCTTCATATAACATTGCAAACATTCTCAATCTGGGACAATTGTTTTTCCTCCAATTTGCCTGCCATTAGCACATAGTTCAAGATCGTGGGTAAATCCCTGATGATGTAACCTGGAACAAACCAGTAATTACTAGTATCCTATAATCATTACATCACTGACTAGTGAGTGGGGATTAGTAAAAGGCGACTAACGGGATCGGGTGGTCAGGCTCGCTGACTTGGTTGATGCATGACATCGATCCCAATTGCGTGGATCGATGCTCATGATATTAATCACTGGATTGTCTGGTCCAGACTCGATTATTCACAGACCGCCGTCATATAGCTGGAATATTGCTGAGTGTGCGGCATTAAACAACAAACCAACCAACCAGACACAAACACAGGTGCATCCACATTGCTATCTGAGTGAATTCTGGAACTTGACGTTAAACCCCATTTCACCTTATCACAGAAGCCTCACGTAATGCTGTGTTGTTACAGATGAGACTGCTGATATTGTCACATTTGGAAAATCCGCCAAGAAGTCCATTGATCTGAACCAAATAGGAATGTATGGCAACGGTCTCAAGTCGTAAGTATCAGTTCTAAGGAAATTCCTTTTGTGTTTCATGTTTTTGATGACTTCTTTTACCTTTTATCTGAATCTGATATCTAGATTCAGTATTTCTTTTCACACCTGTGGAGTCAGGTGCCTAGATTCAGTGTTTCTTTTCACACCTGTGGAGTCAGGTGCCTAGATTCAGTGTTTCTTTTCACACCTGTGGAACCAGATACCTAGATTCAGTGTTTCTTTTCACACCTGTGGAGTCAGGTGCCTAGATTCAGTGTTTCTTTTCACACCTGTGGAACCAGGTACCTAGATTCAGTGTTTCTTTTCACACCTGTGGAGCCAGATACCTAGATTCAGTGTTTCTTTTCACACCTGTGGAGCCAGATACCTAGACTCAGTGTTTCTTTTCATCTGCATAATCACATGATGATTGAGTCAATATTTTAAAAACTCCCTCTGATATGTTATTTTATGAATATGACAGGAATCTGTGTTCAGAGATTATCTCCCACCAGAAGTGAGATCATACAATTAATTTCAAACTCCATGGTATTCAGGAGTGACTTTGTTGTATGTAGACAGTGCATAATTATGGATAGAAATTAGCACTAGTCAACTGGCCTGGGTCCCGTTCCACAAAACGATCTTAGCGCTAAGATGATCGTAACTCCCATACTTTAACATAGGCTTACGACAATCATAGCACTAAGATCCCTGGACCAGTTCTGTTAATGTTGAAGGTATCCTAAGGTCTAGTAGAATTTCAAACATTGTGGGGGTACTGCTACGTGGTATCACTGTTCGGGCTAGTAGACATTCTTGGTTAATTTCCATTCCTGTGAAGCACAGTGTGGTAGCCCGGTGGTTAAAGCATTCACTTGTCACGCAGAAGACACAGGTTTGATCCTCCACATGGGCACAAATGTGTGAAGCCCATTTTTTGGGTCCCCCCGCCACGATATTGCTGGAATATTGCTAAAAGCGGTGTAAAACCATACTCACTCACTCACTCACTCCAATCCTGTGTCTACAATATGTACACTAAAGTGTTGTATTCAGACCATGGGAGTGAATGGTTCCTGCTCTAGCTGCACAAACTCCCATTGCAGAAATGCTGAAATATTATCATTTTTGCGCAGGTAGAAGTATCATTGTCAGGGCCGACAATTTATCAGAAGCAAAGCTGCATTCATCATTTTGTCCATATCTACCTGTGTCAGGAAATGCATTTCACTGTTGTGATTCTGTTCATTTATTGACACATTTTGGTAATCTCTTTGTTTCAGAGGCTCAATGAGAATCGGTAATGATCTGATTTTGTTCACGAAGAAAGGCATGACCATGTCTTGTCTGTTTCTGTCCCGAACTTTCCACGAGGAAGAACACATTGATGAGGTAATGATGAAGCTAATGAAAGGGAAACAATGATAAATCCTTCAGCAATGGAAACAAATTCAACAGAGAAAGACAAAGGAGTCTGTCACCACAGAATGGTTGATCAACAAGATGACACTAGATCTGCCAACAGAGAGTCATGAATGATACGTCACTAAAAAAGGAGTTTAAATCTCTCAGCTGAGAAGGAGAGGAGAATAATAATACTTTGCGAGGAAATGAGAAATATCGAACAGTTCAACAGAGAATGGTTAAGACTTGTATGAATGTAATAACTAACATAACATCAACACCAGAGAATAATCAATCTCAATTACCGTATTCGATGTAATAAGCGCCCAGGGCGCTCTCAAAATTAGAAATAGGGGGCTCTTATTAGAATATTATTTTGGTGAAAAAGACAGAGTTGAAAGATAAATTTCATGGTTTATGCTGACAGCCTGAAATGTTTATATACGAGAGATACATTTTTCCGGAATTTAAATGCCCGTAATTAAGGGTGCATATAACACACGAGTGCGTATTATACGCGAATAAAAAAGTGTTGTGTACATTGATCATTCGGAAGGGGTGCTAATTGGGATTGTTCACTAGTCAATCTATTAGCAAATATCGCTGTGGGAGCTTATTAGAGCGGGGCACTTATTACGTCGAATATGGTAACTGCTGAAACCGAATCCATTTGGCCTAAAGGGCAAAATAGTTGTCACTGGTGAAAATTATATGAATGAATCACTGAAAATTCAATCAACACAATTATGTATGAAGTATGATAATTACCAACGTGATGAATGCTTCTCTTCCAACTCTGATGGTTTGGATCAATGCTCAACTGTTGGTTTCTCTGGCCCAGATCTAATTATGTACAAATTGCCATGGTGTCACTGTGCTGATGCTGTCAACAATATTTAACAATGTTCACTCACCCCATGAAGACTCGTAGATAAAATGGAGAATAATTCATACTACATACGAAAATGCTGAATAATCCATCCAACAGATTCACAAACGCTTTATGGAAAATTTGTCTTATGATATTATGATTGAAAAAAGGATGATCGATCATTCAACAGCGTATGGAAATGGCAATAGTTGACAGACAAAATTAATGAAACCACATTCCAGGAGAGCGTAATGCAAGGAGTTGCAGTTGTGGATGATATTTCTTGATACAAGGCGGAATTAAACATGCTTGACAAACAATGCAATGCAATGCATTGACGTTCGAGAAATGCTTAAAATCCACCAAAAAACATTCAACCATTAATATTGCAAACGGTAATTGTCTACAGATGAACACAGAAATAATGATAATACACAAAACAGTGTATGTCAGTTTAAACTGGGTTATGGATTAGTTTACAGAGAATAGATCTTGCATACAAAATAAGAATAAGTCCTTGTAAATGGACATCTGGGAAGGATGTACTAGAAGCAACAGGAAAATACTTGCTGCAACAGTTATATTTATATATATGCTTCATGCAACAAGGAATATTATGCTAGATGCAATAGGGAAGGATGTGCTTGATGCAATAGGGAAGGTTGTATGCTGAATGCAATAGTCAATGCTGTGTGCTTGATGCAACAAGGAATATTATGCTTGATGCAATAGTCAATGCTGTGTGCTTGATGCAACAAGGAATATTGTATGCTTGATATAATAGGGAAGGTTGTGTGCTTGATACAACAAGGAATATTATGCTTGATGTAATAGGGAAGGTTGTGTGCTTGATGCAACAAGGAATATTGTATGCTTGATATAATAGGGAAGGTTGTGTCTTTGATGCAACAAGGAATATTATGCTTGATGTAATAGGGAAGGTTGTGTGCTTGATGCAACAAGGAATATTATTCTTGATGCAATAGTCAATGAGGTGTGCTTGATGCAATAAGGAATATTATGCTTGATGTAACAAGGAATATCATGCTTGATGTAATGGGGAAGGTTGTGTGCTTGATGCAACAAGGGATATTGTGCTTGATGCAACAAGGGATATTATGCTTGATGCAATAGTCAATGAGGTGTGCTTGATGCAACAAGGAATATTATGCTTGATGTAACAAGGAATATTATGCTTGATGCAATAGAGAAGGCTGTATACTTGATGCAACAAGGAATATTATGCTTGATGCAATAGAGAAGGCTGTGTACTTGATGCAAAAAGGAATATTATGCTTGATGCAATAGAGAAGGCTGTATACTTGATGCAACAAGGAATATTATGCTTGATGCAATAGAGAAGGCTGTGTACTTGATGCAACAAGGAATAGTATGCTGAATGCAATAAGGAAGGCTGTATGGTGGATGCAACAAGGAAAATTGTATGCTGGATGAAATGAATAATGCAAGCTTGATACAAGAATATATGCTTGATGCACCGGGAATACTTGGTGCCAGAGGATTTTTGTGTTTCGTGCAGTATGGATTGCTGTATATGCTTGATACAGACTTGTAAATGCTTGATACAAGAGGGAAATATATATGCTTGATGCAGCATTGAATACATTTGCCTTACACAGAAGGGACATATATGAATATATGATGCAGATAACAATTATACATGTTTTTAGTGAACAGAAACATTGTTTCATTATTTTTCAAGTTGACACAAGTGCACACAAAATATTCATAATGTTTTGATTAATTTGCAACAATGGCTCACAGAGATGTTAAAAAAGCAAAACAAGCACATCCATTGATGGTTGAGGGAAGAAAATGAATGGTACTGGATAAAGTGACATTAGCTAAAGAACAACACAAAGTAGTGGAAATATTTTTTTATTTCTATTTGCTTAAAAGACTTTAGGGGCGGTCGGGTAGCCTAGCGGTTAAAGCGTTGGCTCATCACACCGAAGACCTGGGTTTGATTCCCGACATGGGTACAATGTACATTTCTGGTGTCCCCCGCTGTGATATTGCTGGAATATTGCTAAAAGCGGCGTAAAACCATAATCACTCACTCAAAAGACTTTACCTGACTTAATGTGTGACAATACTTTGGAGTCCTAAGTTTCTGCATGGTGTCCCCCACATTTTCAGGTGATTGTTCCTCTGCCATCGTTTGAAGCCTCCACAAGACGGCCGCTGACAAAAGGTGCTAGGGCTGCAGAGAAGGTGAGTTTAACATAGAAGGGATAAAACAAGGACTTGTCAGCTCAGAGGCGGTATCCCTTGTCTGATTGGGATATCCGACCATGACCTGGGGCAGGGTATCTACGTGGGCTAGACAGCATTATTTCACATTTGTAGAAGCAGCCACACACACATGAGCATGCTTATCGCTATATGAGTACAATAATATTGAATGTGACATTACATCCCATTCACCTCACCATTACTCGTAAAGAAATCTAGTTATCTGAAAGGACAATCATCGTCTTGTAAAAAATCCATATAAGACATCATGTCAACTTGTAATGTTTTTTGTGATGTCACGTGTGTGTCCCTTCACATTGCCCCAGTACCGTGCTGACTACATGCTTGTCGTAAAAGGCGACTATGCTTGTCGTAAAAGGTGACTAACGGGATCGGGTGGTCAGGCTCGCTGACTTGGTTGATGCATGTCATCTGTCCCAATTGCGTGTGGTCAGGTTTGCTGACCTGGTTGATGCATGTCTTCATATCCCAATTGCGTGGATTGATGCTCAAGCTGTCAATCACTGGATTTTCTTGTCAAGACTTGATTATTTACAGACCACTGTCATATAGCTGGAACATTGCTGAGTGTGGCGTCAAATAACAAACAAACAAACAAACTGCTGCAACTTTTATTAGTTTCCAATAATTTCCATTTATATTTTCACAATAATGAAACCTTGAGTTGGGATGAATACATCTTTAATTTGTTTATTACCCATAGGGTAAGAAATATCCGAGTTCATAAAAATCGTATGTGCACTAGTGCAAATATCACTTCACGGGCACCGGTGTATTGTTATCATCTGGATGGCTTTGTTGACCTCATTCGAATCATATTGTGATGTAAGGTTGGAATGATGTCACTATGAACCACATCATAGCTGAAGATTGTTTATGTCGTTTGACAGTGGTCGTGAGAAGTGCATTTTTCTTAAAGAGAGCTCAAAATGATTAGGAAATAATGGGTAATGAAGAAATTACACTCACATGTCTGTCATACCGATTTTACAAAAGTGAAAGAAAACATGTATAACCCTGACACTTGTTTTGTAAAATATGTATGTCACAAGCTTGTATAATAACTTCTTTTAATTATATATGTCTGTCAGTTGACATAAGGTGTGCAAATTGACACTTTGTTTTATGGGATGTGTATTTCATTGGCTCCAGCAACCCATGCTTGTCGTAAAAGGCGACAATGCTTTCCTAAATGTCGTTTGTCGTGTGGTCAGGCTCACTGACTTGGTTGATGCTTGTCATCGTATCCCAGTTCTGTAGATTGATGCTTATGATATCAATCACTGGGTTGTCTGGTCCAGACTCGATTATTTATAGACCGCCGTCATATAGCTGGAATATTGCTGATAGCAGCGTAAACAACAAATAAATGAACACAAAAAGTGGTATAGATTACTGATGTATTTAAGAAAGTCAAGTTACAGTAATATGCTATAAGAGTGATTGTGTGACCTTGTCCCCTCAGTATGGACAGTTGATTGAGATTATTGGTTGTATTTTCAGCATGAAGTAGAGATGGGGCTCATATACAAGTATTCACCATTTCGGTCGGAAGAGGAGTTTTTTGCTCAGTTTGACAAAATTGAGGGTAACTCGGGGACACTTGTGGTTGTGTACAATCTGAAACTGCTGGACAGTGGCGAACCAGAGCTGGACATTAATTCTGACCCTGAGGACATTCTTCTTGCTAATCCAGAGTCTGATTTTGATCCAGATGCGGAGTAAGTTTGAAAGATCTATTTTCATCTGATAACAGGGGCGGTCGGGTAGCCTAGTGGTTAAAGCGTTCGCTCGTCACGCCGAAGACCCGGGTTCGATTACCGACATGGGTACAATGTTTGAAGCCCATTTCTGGTGTCCCCCGCCGTGATATTGCTGGAATATTGCTAAAAGCGGCGTAAAACCTCACTCACTCACTCATCTGATAACAAGTCACTTTGGATGAATTGGTTCTCAAAATGCCATCTTGTTTTATGAGATGATAAGATGTCGAGTGGTGACAGCTGGAGAAGAGAGTCAACGGAATGTTGGCATCCTCTGGAGATCAAGACACCCGGTATCTTTTGGGATGTTAAAATCTTGATCATGTTGATTGTCCCTTGGGGACAAGAATATTTCGGAGCTTTTTCGGTATGTGCCTTCATGACATTATTTGTGATGCAGTCAAGCGTTTGTTTTTTGTTTGTCTAGCTGATTTATGGAACTCCTGATTAAGGGGGATGGAATGATATATAATCTAAAGATCATAACCAAATCCCATTGCAGATGAGCAACTGTCTTCAATGTCTCCAGAGGGCATGATTAGTCAAAGGGAGGTAATTCTAGGTTTTGTAAGTGTTGTCTCCCTTTGAATATTATATTTCACCGAATTTAGTTGTGTGTTTTATTATTATGAGTGATTATCATATGAAATCTTGAGATTACAGAATGGTATTTTGTTTGCTTAGATGTTATACATCTGTTTTGTTAATATTTGATTGACTTTTCACTTTCTGTTTTCAGTCTAGTGCCAGAGAGGAAGTCATTCAGAGACTATACCGCAATTTTGTATGTGGACCCAAGGATGAGGATATATATTAATGGTAAAAAAGTGCGGACTAAGAGACTCTCGTGTTGCCTATACAAACCTAGGTTTTACAAATATTCTTCTAATCGATTCAAAGCACGTTCGGAACATGAAGCCAAGCGAGCGATGGATGAAGCCACTTCCGCAGAAAACAAAGCGAGGGAAGCTGAAAGCAAATCAAAGTGAGTGGTGCTGTGAATAATAATAATAATAATAATAATGATTAAAAAAATACGACCATTTATTTTGTGTGACATATGCAGAGTTGCATCCCTTAGGCATGCAGAAACCTATGATTGTGGGTTCAAAATGTATCTGGGTTTGTCAGCATCATACCGGTGCTTGTGGGTTTGACCAAAGTGGTAAATGCCTGAGACCTGCATCACTTCGGGCTTTCCTCCCACATTAAGCTGACACACCGTGATGTAATTGGAATACTGTTCAAAGCGGCGTAAAATCTAACTCACTCACTCATTCACTGGCATGATAGATTAACAAAAGTAATATGAAAGAATCGAGTGGTATATGTAGTGTCATGGTGACTTGTCACTAACAATTTGTGCATATATCATTTCATATGCTGTACATTTATGTTTAGACCTCACATATGTAACCATGGTAACATCTTTTGTGACAAATATATTCCTGAAAGATTCTGGTGAGTTACCAGGGATTTATCTAGACTTGATCAGAGGCCAATATTGGAGCCCAAGTCTGCTGTAAAAAATTATTATTTCGAAATTTGAATTTTGTAATTGATGTTTAGGCTTAAAATAGATGCCTCATTTCACAAGTGTCAGGATAAATAACGAGGAAGATGCCTTGATACTTTGTTGTACGGGCGGTGTGGTGTGGTAGCCTAGTGGTTAAAGTGTTCGCTCATGCCGAAGACGCAGATTCGATTCCCCATGTGGGTACATTATGTGAAACCCATTTCTGGTGTTCCCACCGTGAAATTGCTAGAATGTTGCCAAACGTGGTGCCAAAACATGGGAAGAAACCTGAGAGTTTGAGAAAATAGGAAGTATAAGATTAAGAAAATCCCAATTTTAAAAAATGTAACACTATTTTTTCCAATTGGCATGTCAAGGGCACTTAGTTACGCTGGTTTCATTGGTTACAGAACCTTTTTGTTTGATATTGACATTGCATTAATTCAGAAAATAAATATTTTCTGATTTTCAGTTACTTTGTTCATGTTGTATCTAAAACATATATTTTGTGTGTTTTTCAGAAATTTAGAAAACAAATTAGGATCATCAATATCAAGAGACCAGAGGGTGTGTATTTCTTCTGGCTTGACTTAGCCAGGTTCATCTTCCTGATTAGATATGGCTAAGAGACACTATTTTTTTTTTTTGTGCCTAGTATGTGGCTTTGAAGAATTGATTGAAAAATAGTTATGGAAGGCCATTAAGCATGTTGAGCATGTTTAGTTTTTGTCATCCTTCAATAAAAGCGACCGCCTCAGTGGCCTAGTGGTAGAGTGTCCACCCGGAGAGCAGAAAGTTCGGGGTTCCATCCCCGGCCGCTCATACCAAAAGACGTTAAGAGATGGTACTTGTTGTTACCCTGTCTGGCGCTCGGCATTAAGATGCTAAAACAAGGACTGGTCAGCTCGAAGTCAGTATACGGTGTCTGAGTAGGGTATTCATGTTAAACTGCGGCATGGTATCTCAGTGGGCTAGCACTATAAATCGGCATCAGTCTGGACTAGTACAAGCAGCCACACAGACACACACACGTACATGCACGTCGCTATATAAGTGCAATAATCTTGAACGCGACGTTAAACCCCATTCCACCTTAACTTCAATAAAAGCAATGTAGAGAACCTGCCGTCTGACCTAGTTGATGCTCAGGGTGCTATATACATAGATTATGGTACGTGCTATGGAAGGTGTTCACTATTTTTTGGCAAGTAGTTGGGAATTTATTTAGAAATTCAAAATCTGAGGTGTCACCATTAATAAGTAAAACGTGGAGATTCCAAGTTAGAAATGGTTCCCTGCAGTCTATGTTGGGAGTAAGAGAAGACCAAATGGGATATTGTCAGGCTTGGTGACTTGGCTGATGGCGTGACCTTGTTCCTCCTGACGGCATGGATCGTTGCTCACAATATTGATCACTGGATTGTCTGGTCCAGACTTAACATAGCCTCTACTATCATGTGTCTACTGCCAGCTTATCATTTTGAACCTACTTTGAATATTTATGGTCAAGAAGTTCCACACACGATTTGACGTAAATATGTGCATTGGGATAGCCGTCATATCGTTTATGCATCGTGACATTCCTTCACCCCTGATGATACATATTAATTTGTAATCTCACAGGCGGACCTACGAAAAGCACAGACCTTTGCAGCAGAATGCAGAAGAGAAGCACAGATTAAACGTCAGATAGCAGACAGGAAGAGCAAGTGAGACTGACTTGTGTTTTGTTATGTCTCAAGAAGTATATATCACCTACTGTCTTAAAGGGGCATCTATTTGCTTTTTGCCAATGGTTTATTGTACACCTCTAGGAAAAATGCAGAAAAGTTCTGAGAATATCACACTTGTGCGAAATATTGTTCAATAACAATTTCATTGGCTGAGACTGTCATAAAGCTAGAACCATATGCATGGTTATTGAAAGGTTGGCTTCAGCAAGGTATCACACGTCAAAGCATTATAGTTGTTTTTGTCCTACTTAAACATGAGCAAACATTGCAGAGGGAAAGCGCTTACTCTTTTCTGAAATATGTGGCGGAACCACAAACGTAAGGACACAGGCTAATAAATTACAGATGAAAGAACCCATGCAATATATTGTGGTATGTATAGCAATACATGAATCATTATTGCAATAAATTGCATGACAAAAGGCCAATATTAAGGTTTCTTAATGAGTAGGTAATTAACATATAAATTGTTATCAGGGTATGAAACTCCCAAAAATTTCAGCCAGACCACAGGACTGGCTAGCTGAAATACTTGCCAGCCCTGACCAAAACCTGCCTGCCCACTATAATCATATGTTTCTCAGGATAAGCTAACGGGGTTTCTTTTTGGTTACATTTTATCATTCATCTTTACATGTGAATTAATGCTTATCATCGGGAAATATTTTGAATATTTTCACATATGAAATATAACCCGACCGTCGGGCAGGGGGATTTGAAAATCTGGCAGCCCGAGTTGAAATCAACCCGTCTTGGACGGTCGGGCAGGCAGGTATTTCGAACACTGGTGTTATGTATTGGATCATGACCAAGGTATCCTGATATGTATCGGATCGCACAGTTGGTGTAGCACCCAACCCTAAGTCTTTACCCTATCTGTTTCAGAGCGCTAAAAGACCCGAAAACTTTGAACTTTATTTTTGGGATGAACCTAGAGAACAGGGTCCATGATGGTGTGTTTGTCTACAACTGTAGCAGATTGATCAAAATGTACGAGAAGGTTGGACCACAGGCGGAGGGAGGAGTGTAAGTAAAAATAATACACATCCGGTACATGCTTCAGAATTGAGGGGCACAGGTGGCAATGTTGTCAGAGGCCTCAGATACTTGTGCAGGTTTGTTTCCTAGCTGTGCCACTGCCTCTGGTCTAGTGGATAGAACGTCTGCCTCTGGTCTAGTGGATAGAGCGTCTGCCTCTGGTCTAGTGGATAGAGCGTCTGCCTCTGGTCTAGTGGATAGAACGTCTGCCTCTGGTCTAGTGGATAGAGCGTCTGCCTCTGGTCTAGTGGATAGAGCGTCTGCCTCTGGTCTAGTGGATAGAACGTCTGCCTCTGGTCTAGTGGATAGAGCGTCTGCCTCTGGTCTAGTGGATAGAGCGTCTGCCTCTGGTCTAGTGGATAGAGCGTCTGCCTCTGGTCTAGTGGATAGAGCGTCTGTTTGGAGAGCCTCTGGTTTTGTGTATAGAGCATCTGCCTCTGGTCTAGTGGATAGAGCGTCTGCCTCTGGTCTAGTGGATAGAGCGTCTGCGTCTGGTCTAGTGGATAGAGCGTCTGTTGGGAGAGCCTCTGGTCTAGTGGATAGAGCGTCTGTAAGGAGAGCTGAACCGCATTGGTTCTATCCTTGTCACGTCATACCGAAAAGATGTTAAACAAGGACTGGTGAGCGGAGTCGGTATACTGTGTCTGAGTGGGATATCCATGTTAATCTGCAGCATGGGATCTAAGCAGACTGGCACTATAAAGTGACCATCAGTCCAGGCTAGAACAGGCAGCCACACAGATACACAATTGCATGCGCATGTTGAACCTTATTTTACCACCCTCATGGCAATGCCAGGATAGGAATAGGCATAGCTGTGACCAACTTTTAACTGTGGCATCTTTATGCAAGATGATCTTAAGGACAGTGGGAGTGACTGTGCGTGATATAGATTGATTTTAACAGGTAGCCAATGTTGTGTTCCAGGATGAGTCAGACCACAAAGGAACGTTTATAATGACCAATGAAGATTCCGGGTTAGAATAGGTCTTCAGCAACCCATACTTGCCGTAAGAGACGACTATGCTTGTCGTAAAAGGCGACTAACGGGATCATGTGGTCAGGCTTGCTGACTTGGTTGAACATGTCATCGATCCCAATTGCGTGGACCGATTCTCATGATGTCAATCACTGGATTGTCTGGTCCACACTTGATTATTTTACAGACCGCCATCATATGGCTGGAATATTGATGAGTGCAGCGTTAAACAACAAACAAACATGTTGAATGTCATTGTAGTGATACATGACCTATGAGACTAACAGCCCTTTTGGTTTCTTCTTGTAGGAATTGCAGTGGAGTTGTAGGTAAGTCATGCTGCTTTATTACATCAAACAGGGGTGGTAGGGTAGCCTAGTGGTTAAAGCGCTCGCTTGTCACGCCGAAGACCCGGTTTTGATTCCCGACATGGGTACAATGTGTGAAGCCTATTTCTGGTGTCTCCCCCGCCGTGATATTGCTGGAATATTGCTGGAATATTGCTAAAAGCGGCGTAAAAGCATACTCACTCACTATTACATCGAACAACTGTAACAGTTGTTACATTACAATATGTCCTCTGGACTCCTGGCGGGGGCAGTTGCAGATCTGAACATTGAAATCCCTCAGTCAATGGCCACTGGCTGAATGACACCACACGAAAGTGACCAGATTCTAGGCCATTTTAAAGAAGTCTTTAGTCTTTAGAAGTGATATACATAAGGAAGAGAAATTTATGGATGTCAACTTCTTTATAATGAGGAATACAATGTTTTGTATTCACTGTGATGCTAATGCAGTGGTTGCAGTGGTTGACTGGCCATTCACTGTGTACTTTACCCGTGAAGATCTGGGGTAGAATAGGTCTTCAGCAACCCATGATTGCTGTAAATGGTGACTGAGAGGCGACTAACGGGATCAAGTGGTCAGGCTCACTGACTTGGTTGATGCATGTCATCGATCCCAATTGCGTGGATCGATGCTCATGATATTAATCACTGGATTGTCTGGTCCAGACTTGATTATTTACAGACCGTTGTCATATAGCTGGAATATTGCTGAGTGCAGTGTTAAACAACAAACAAACCAAACAAACCAAACCACTTTGTACTTGCAGGTATTGTTGATGTTCCGTACCTGGTGCTAGAGCCCACTCACAACAAGCAGGACTTCGCAGATTCCAAGGAGTTCCGGCATCTCATGAAGGCCATGGGGGAGCACATGTCACAGTACTGGAAGGATGTGGGCATCAGTATGTACAAATCTCACCCTGAGGGACTCCAGGGCAGAATGTGTTCCCATACCTCTTGCAAAACTTAGAAATGATATTCTACTTCCAATCAAAAAAATATTGACCAAAAGTGTTTCTTTGGCAGCCATTTTGAAAACCAAGATGGCATCGAATGTTTTAGGATACATTGATTTTATTTAATGAGATGGTCAGTGGGTTAAAGAAAATACATATGTTTGCAAAAGAAAATTCTGAACAGGATTAGACGATACAGTGGACTGAATAAAAATGTTGGTTTTTTAAAAAAAAGGAATCTTTATTTCCTTGTGTAGAATTTTAATGATAAAGTTCACAGAATGTTTGGTGCAACACAATATATGAGCGTTGCCACATGTATATATATTAAGGTGAAATGTGAAATGTATGACCATAGACTGTTAAATAGTATTTCCTGCTTGTGTATACAAGATGTCTCAAGCCACTGTTTTATCAAACGATCCATATCTACTCATACTAAATAGGTTTTTGTAGGGCTCCCCCTTCCCTTCGATAACATTGCCCTTTTCGTGCCCAGTGTTAATGTCTTGTGTGACCTTTCAATGAAGACATGTATTGTATCACTATTAAATGTATCATAACAGCCTTGTGGTTGCAGTGTGTGAACTCGATGATTGTGTGTCATTGTACCTTCATGGGGGTATGGGGGCGGTCAGGTAGCCTAGTGGTTAAAGCATTCGCTCGTGACGCCAAAGACCCGGGTTCGATTCCTGACATGGGTACAATGTGTGAAGCCCATTTCTGGTGTCCCCTGCCGTGATATTACTGGAATACTGCTAAAAGCGGCATAAAACCATACTCACTCCTTTTCACTCATGGGGTTATGCACTGTCTCGTGGTCTGGTGGTAGAGCAATTGCCCGAGAGTGAAAGGTCCTGGGTTCGATCCCTGGCCGCGTCATACCAAAAGACGTTAAAAGATGGTACTTGTTGTTACCCTATCTGGTGCTCGGCAATAAGGGCTAAAACAAGGACTGGTCGGCTCGGAGTCAGTATACTGTGTTTGAGTGGGGTATTCTTGTTAAACTGCGACATGGTATCTCAGTGGGCTAGCACTGTAAAATCGGCACCAGTCTGGACTAGTACAAGCTGCCTCACACGCTCATGCATGCATGCATGTCTCTGCAATAATCTTGGACGCAAGGTTAAACCCCATTTCACCACACCTCATGGGGGTATCTCAGGTTTTTCTGTCCCAGTGTCAACTGGCTGGAATACCGTGGACTGCGATGCAATTGACATTACCTAAAGTTTGAATCTTTCAACTCAACACCTTGTGTATGTTGGAAATCTGAGAAAGTGTTATGTTTGTGAAAATAATGCTGACTATTTTTTGTTTTAGTTCAACAAGGAGTCACAAAATTTTGGTAAGTATTTATTTGTTTCCGATTATTTAGTCAAAGGGTTATAGCATATGGGATCCCAGTCAACGAAACCAATGCTTGCAGTAAAAGGCGACTAACGGGATCGGGTGGTCAGGCCCGCTGTCTTGGTTGAAGCATGTCATCGATCCCAATTGCGTGGATCGATGCTCATGTTGTCAATCACTGGATTGTCTGGTCCAGGCTCGATTATTTACAGACCGCCTTCATATAGCTGTAATATTGCTGAGTGTGGCATAAAACAACAAACCAACCAACTCTGTCAACGATGAATAATTCATGGGCATTTTTTAACATTGAATATTTTTGTAACTGACTGGGTCTGAGACAAAATACTTACTGGCATCTATTATTTTTTAGTATCTGATTTAGTCCGCAATTCTTTTACTAATTATCTTAATGCAGAGCCATGTTAATGTCTGGTACATTATATTTTTAAACAAAGGTGCTACTATATTATACTATGTATACAAGATCTAAACCTATTGAAATATAATTACTTTCATTTTTGATGTTCTTGCTTACATCCTGTGTATGTACACTACAAATTGCCAATCTTTGTATATGCACGTTTAATTTTGCAATAAAGTATGTGTCTGTTGTGCAGTCTGTTGTTTACTGCACCCTGCACTAGGTGCAGTGGGGAGAATACAACGGAATCGCACCCTATGGTGTTACATCACCATGATCACTTTAGTCTTCCTGATTTGTTTGTGCAGGGAGAACTTCGGTTACATATCACCCATCTGGACAGACCGACCATCAGAAGATGTGAAATATGTGAGGAAAAGAGCCATGCAGATAAATGTAACACTCCAATGTGGTAAGACAAGCAGAATTATCTCCCTTATCAAGTCTCACTTTTAAAAAAAACTAACGGGATCGGGTGGTCAGGCTCGCTGACTTGGTTGATGCATGTCATCGATTCCAATTGCGCGATTCAATGCTCATGATATTAATCACTGGATTGTCTGGGCCGGACTCGATTATTTACAGACCGCCGTCATATAGCTGGAATATTGCTGAGTGCGGCGTTAAACAACAAACCAAACAAAAATTACCCACACAGGATGTTAGTAATAAGACGTGAGTTACCGATTGCTAATTGTTATTTTAATTATTTACAAGATCAAAACTCGTTTCACACATTCAACAATGTATGCAATGTTGTTATGTTTCGAGGATTAACAGAATAATCAGAATAAGTAAATGTATTATTTTACGGCTAAAGATCTTACAATAGATAAACAGCTCCAGATAACTTTTTGAGCAATTGAGTTTTTACTTGGTGGTTTCTATTGTAATTGGGTTATTACATTTTTCATTGGGTAACCAATATTTTTTCCCTCATCTATTCATCACGCTATTGGGTTTTTCCCAAAATGAGTAAACAATTTAAGATTTTTTTTTTTTTATAAAAATGTTTTAAATGTATATAAGGGTTCAACTATAGGCTTGACTCGGAAAGTAAATTAGCTCGTAAATGAGTTTTGGAAATTTGCTCCTTTGTACGAATGCTGAAAAAGCTTCATTGGAAAGTATTTAGGTTTTGTATATTATTGGGGGGTATTTTACGCAAGTACGCAGCTTATCTGTAGCTCTGGATAAACCTGACGAAAATATCAGCCAATGAAAACAGCTGTCACAGCTGCACCGGTGGCTTTAAGCCAGGCCTCAAATGAGTTTGTATTGAACACAATTACCGAGCATGTGATTTCAGCACATTCACGTGGACATTTAAATGCCTTCTACGAATATTATGGGGGGCACGGGTGGCCCAGTCGTCTAAGGCGCCGCGATTCGCTGTGCAGAGTTGTGTCCCTTGGGCACGCCAGAAACCTATGATTGCGGGTTTGAATCCCGGTTCGCCCCAATTATGTTTCTAGGTTTGTCAGCACCATACCCGTGCTCGTGGGTTTCACCGAAGTGGTAAAACGGGCTTTCCTCCCACATTAAGCTGACACACCGCGATATGACTGGAATACTGTTAAAAGCGGCGTTAAACCCAACTCACTCACTCACTCTAGAAATATTATGAATTTTTCTCTCTTGGAAATTGATATTTGCAACAAAATTGCAATCATTTTTTTGTCCGTTTATTTGCCCTATAAGCACTAGGCCACCCCACCGCCCCTTAACATTAGACAACCTGACTCAGGACAGGGGCTGTTGCTACGTTGCCGCCCTGCTTATTGTGTCCATTACTCGGCCATGTCGGAGGTCTAGCTTTCAGTACAGTCGGATTCTCAATCAGTGGAACTATTTGGCACATGCCTAACTGCTTTAGACACTCTGCCAGCTGGTATCTTTTGAGCAAATAGAAATTTCTTATATCAGGCCTCAAAGTTTGATTTTTTACTAAGTTGTCATTTGGCTACAAGTATATTTTTCCAGGTAGCCAGTGGTAAAATCAAGAAGTCAAGCCTATGTTTGTTGGTAGCCAAAAACATTTGAAATTATCTTTTATCAAATAACTATTATGATATGTACAAGTCATTGCACTAGTCTTGGAATTGTATATTTGTGGAAACTACTTGATTTTTGTTATTTGTGACTTGAAGAATGATGCAATTTATGTTACTAGATTATATAGATATATCCTTGCTTATCCAATGAGCACTGTCAACTGAAATAAAATAAAATACTAATTACATTGATATTTATGTATTTCGGTTCATCATGTTCATTGTCGACTTTAGGAGGAATTGTTTGTGAGTACAATTATAGCAGACGTGTTTTCCAATATCAGCTGTTATAAGCTGTGTCTACAGATGTGTAGCAATAGAATATAATCGCCACAAGATATTTTTCAAGGTACTCATTTGGCTACCTCTGATGTTTAGACTGTAGACAAATTGAAATTTAGGTCGCATTGACAACCGTTTTAGTCGCAACTTTGAGGCCTGTATATATTTAGCCAAAATGTCATTGTTGCTCCTAATCGTATATTGTGCTGTTGCAGATATGTGTTTAAAGTGGCGGACACTTCCGTTCTCCTCTAACAACATCGGCAAGGAGTTCCCTGACAGCTGGGTTTGCAATATGAACACTGAGCAACAGCATAATAAGTAAGTCACGTGACCTGTGTGTATTTCCTAACTCGGAACTCAATTTACAGGATTGGTGCACCGATGATTCTGTGAATGTAAATAGGAGAAAGGGCACAGTGGTTGCCTGTTGTCTAGAGCACCTCAGCTGTAACTGTATCAGTTGGTCATGTGCTCAAACCTCAAATTGTCTCTCGTAACCACTGATCTGTTAGCATGGTTACATGGGTACAATGTGTGAAGCCCATTTCTGGTGTCCCCCGCCGTGATATTGCTGGAATATTGCTAAAAGCTGCGTAAAACCATACTCACTCACTCACTCTCGTAACCACTGATCTGTTAGCACTCAGCTCATGGTGTACAGCCTGCATCACCTTGCATTCCTTCATTAGTGGGGGCTGTCGGGTAGCCTAGTGGTTAAAGCGTTCGCTCGTCACGCCGAAAACCCGGGTTCGAATCCCGACATGGGTACAATGTGTGAAGCCCATTTCTTGTGTCCCTGCCGTGATATTGCTGGAATATTGCTAAAAGCGGCGTAAAACCAAACTCACTCATTCACACTCCTTTATCAGTGATCTAATAGACAATGATATACCTGGAATATTGGTCAAAGTGCTGTTCAGTTTCACCCTGATTGTGAACATTGGCCTGTCAGCACAGTATTCTCGCTTGTAGGTTCCAGCAAGGTGGTAGACAAGCCCTTCCTCACTTTCAGCTTGGGGCGGTCGGGTAGCCTAGTGGTTAAAGCTTCCGCTGGTCACGCTGAAGACCTGGGTTCGATTTCCAACATGGGTACAATGTGTGAAGCCCATTTCTGGTGTCCCCGGCCGTGATATTGCTGGAATATGGCTTAAAGTGGCGTAAAACCATACGCACTCACTCACTTTGGGCTTTGCTCCCACATCAATATGACTATTCACTTTCAGTATTGCAGACTATATTAACATGAATTGGGAATGTTTTTATTCCAATTTGTGAATTTATGCTGACATTTGCTAATAGTGATCATTATAGAGAGAACCGTTGGGATCAGCCCCACCCTGACTTTTGACCAGCCCCAACCTGACTTTTGACCAGCCCCAACCTGACTTTTGACCAGCCCCAACCTGACTTTTGACCAGCCCCACCCTGACTTTTGACCAGCCCCAACCTGACTTTTGACCAGCCCCAACCTGACTTTTGACCAGCCCCAACCTGACTTTTGACCAGCCCCAACCTGAGTTTAGCACTCATGGTACAATGTGTGTTGCAGGTGTTCATCAGCAGAACAGAAAATGAACATCCCAGAGGGTCTCCTGAAGAAGGAGGTGAAGACTCAGGAACAGAAGAAGAAGGACCTGGAAGAAGTGAGTACCTCTCTGACGTCATTGCTGACAAGCAGCAGTTAGTGGGTACCTGGTAGGGGTGGAATTGATTGGAAATTGTTGTGTCGACATCTAGACTCAAAAGTATCATAATCTATTGATAAATAATAATACAATTAGTTATTCTGTGGACCTGTGAAGATATTGGGTAGAATAGGTCTTCAGCAACCCATGCTTGTCGTAAAAAGCGACTGTGCTTGTCGTAAGAGGCGACTAACAGGATCGCTGACTTGGTTGATGCATGTCATCGTATCCCGTATGCGTGGATCGATGCTCATGATGTCAATCACAGGATTGTCTGGTCCAGGCTTGATTATTTACAGACCGCTGTCGTATAGCTGGGATATTGCTGGGAGTGCGGTGTTAAATGACAAACAAAAGTCATTCTGTGTGATAATGGATAAGCTATTTCCCATGTTGACCTACGACTAATCAATTTACTGCTAAATATGAACTAGTGAACGATGACATCCCTAGTACCCGGTGGGGTGAGATGATAATGTGACTCTTTACCCTCTAGCACCTCATTAGCAGCTTCGAGGGGCGGTCCGGTAGCCTATTGGTTAAAGTGTTCGCTCGTCACGCCGAAGACGCGGGTTTGATTCCCGACATGGGTACAATGTGTAAAGCCCATTTCTGGTGTACCCCGCCATTATATTGCTAGAATATTGCTTAAAGCGGCGTAAAACCATACTCACTCACTCACTCATTAGCCGCTTGGGCCATTTGCAGTTACCATTGTCAGCTAGGATATCATGGACATTTTTTGCATTGTCAAACATGTGTTTACAGTCAATGGTTGTCACCAGTCACTGATTATCGACTGGGTTTGTTCTAACCCAAATTTAACCAATAACTTTGTAATGGTAGTTTTGTAATGATAGACATTGTCCATATTTATTCACTGGCCATCTGAAATGTGTCAGTGGTGGCAGGGATCAAATTTCATTTGTCTCATTTGCCTGCGTCCAACTGTAATTTTTATCCAGGACTAGGACAAGGTTGTCATGCCTGCCTTACCCTGCATACAAGACAGCAGAACAAGTAGAATACTGCACTTTAGAGACATACTTGGAAACTTATTTTAAATGTCCTTGATTAGTATTTTTCCTGATATATCATGGTATTTTTCCACTGTTGTGGCCATTAGTTTAAAATCTAGCCGATGCATTGTATGATGTCCAAGAAATGTCTGTTGTCCTGTTGTCATGCCTACCACCTATGTCCACCGCCTATGTCAAATGCTGCACATCAGAAATTCAGAAAAGTTGACAGTTAAGCAACAAGTGGACAATTATAGTTCCAAACCCCTGAATAATGATGCTTGAAGGTACTTTTTAAGTAGGGGCAGTCGGGTAGTCTAGTGGATAAAGCGTTCGCTTGTCACACCGAAGACCCGGGTTCGATTCCCAATATGGGTACAATGTGTGAAGCCCATTTCTGGTGTCCCCTGCCATGATATAGCTTGAATATTGCTAATAGTGGTGTAAAACCCTACTCACCCACTCACTCACTACTTTCAAGTACCGTTATGATCGATGTGTGTGAGCTGTTTTTGTTGTGTCTATTAACTGTTACATTTACCTTTTTTGTGTTTTATTTCAGGAAATCCGCAAGAAGCAAGACATGTTGGAAAAAATGCAGGTAAGAGCCCTACCAGTTCCATATTAGTGGTAACCACCTGCACCTTGGTCTAGTGGATAGAGCATCTGCCTGGAGAGCGGGAGGTAAGCGGTACGATCCCGGGCCACGTCATACCTAAAGTCGTTAAAATACTGTACTTGCTGTTACTCTGCTCGGCACTTGGCATGAAAGGAATAAAACAAGGACTGGTCAGCTCGGAATCAGTATACTGTGTCTGGGTGGGGTATTCATGTTTAAACTGCAGCATGGTATCTCAGTGGGCTGGCACTATAACAGTGACCATGAGTCCAGACTAGTACTAACAGCCACACAGATAAACACATGCATGTCCCAGATAAGTGCACTCCACCTCACCTCAGCCCAGCCCAGCCCAGCCCAGCCCAGCCCAAACTCGCTTCGCCTCACCCAACCCAACCGCAGGGCCACAACTCGCCCAGCCCAGCCCAGCCCAGCCTCACCGCAGGGCCTCAACTCGCCCAGCCCAGCCCAGCCCAGCCCAGCCCAGCCCAGCCCAGCCCAGCCCAGCCAAGCCAAGCCAAGCCCAGCCAAGCCCAGCCTCACCCTACCCCACCGCAGGGCCTCAATTCGCCCAGCCCAGCCCAGCCCAGCCCAGCCCAGCCCAGCCCAGCCCACCGCAGGGCCTCAACTAGCCCAGCCCAGCCCAGCCCAGCCCAGCCTCACCGCAGGGCCTCAACTCGCCCAGCCCAGCCAAGCCCAGACCAGCCAAGCCCAGCCTCGCCCCACCCCACCCCACCCCACCTGTAATAATGTCTTCCTGTCTGTGTATTCAGAGAAACAAAGTAATCAAGTCATCCAAAGAACTGCAGGAGTTGCAGAGAATGAGAGAAGAGGAGAAACTGAAGGAGAAGGAACGAGAGATCCGTGAGAAGGAAAGACAGAGAGAAGATGCGGAGAGACAGAAACTGAAGGAAGCAAAGGAGAGGGAGAAACAGCGAGAGAAGGAGGCCCGGCAGCGAGAGAGGGAGAGACAAATGCGGGAACGAGAGGAGAGAGAAGCTGAAGCAAGGGAGAGGGAGAGGGAACGAGAGAAGGCGAAGAAGGTGAGGAAGGACTAGTTGTTTCTCGGACTGAGTTTGCGGTGTAAATTTGAAAACAGTAGCACAAATAACATGCATTAACCAATGGAAATGAAGCAAAAATTGTGAGTGAGAATGTATTTCAATTTCATCAATGTTATTGCCCCTTTGGGAACTGTTCTCTGGTAAGCATAGAATTGCATGGGTTTGCAGGAATTAGGAATGTCTTCCCAAAAACACAAGATAAGTTGGTCCAGCCTTTTGACAACCTCATTAAAATCAGATCTTAGTTCTCGCTATCCCTAAACAAAGATCTGAGGACATCCCATTATGGGTCACGCCAGAAAGACCTTTCATCCGACCAATCAAAGCGTGGCTTACCAGATCATGAAAGAGAGTCGGAATGTGTTTTCAAAACGTAACCTCGAAAACGTTAAAACGCGGTATTCCGAACGACTGTTACGGCCCGTAAGACTGATTCCGTCAAAATTATTGTCTGTCTCTCGCTTCCGTAGGATAAACATTTGAACGGAGGAGGCGTTGCACAGTACGTAGGAAGCACTGCCATACAATCGTAACCATATATTAGACATTCCGGATTTTTCTTTTGTTCAGTTTTCCAAATTTTAATCGAGAACTGTGTCAACATATTTTTCAAGCGTATTCTGAAATGGAAGTCACCAGGTTGAAACGAGTGCCGTAAAGCTCGAGAAAGCTGCTTTCTCATTGGCTGATATCGACTTCTTGTTATTTGTTTCAGTGATTGGTCAAAGTTCGCGAAAGGTCGTTCCGACGTGACGCGTAATGGGATGTCCTCAGATCTTTGTTTAGCGGCAGCGAGAACTTAGATCTGATTTTAATGAGATTGGCATTTTGAGGTATTGCTCCCTTTGATTCTGACTAGCCTTATGTACCATGTTTTAATTTTGCCATCAAGGCTGCCTCTAGAGGCCCATCTAGGACAGCCACAGTGCGGACGCCAGAACCAGCTCGAAAATCAAACCATGCTGCTGCAGCCAAGACTAGAGCCACTATCTCCAAGGCCTCGCCCAAACCCAGTCCAAGGACCACCCCGAAACCCAGTCCCAAGACGGCTGTCAAGTCTAAGGTTGGTCACATTGCTTACTCATTGAAATGGAAGTGGTGTTGGATACTGATGGAGCCATGGAGATATTTCACTCATCTTCCCGAGGCAAGGGAGTTGACTGACTATAAAAGTCCAGTTTCAACCCTTGAGTTATATTTTGGCTGGACTAACAAGTCTATGCATACTCCAAACATCTAGGATTTGTGTACCACCAACTCAGAGTCATCAGATATTTTCCAAATCCTTTCATGTTTCTAATCAAGGTGCTCATGTGATTAGGTGCACCTCGCAAAGTTAGACCCGTTTTTTTTTACAATATATATCTTGATTGTCGATGTGATCTTCTTGACTGGGCGCCACCATTTTGTTTGAAGCAAATGAAAGTGTTATGAGAAGTGGAATCTGATTGGTCAGTAGGCGGGACATAGAAGGAATGTGACTCATAAAGCCACTGGTGACTATAGTTAAACTGTCATGGCTGGTCATAGAGCTTAAATATTGCTGAGTGTGGTGTTCATGGTGTTAAATAGAAAACAAACTATAGGAAAAGTTACATGTTGAGAAAGTGGTACATTATTTACATATGGCTGGATTATTGCTGAATGTGGCTTTCAAAACAAACAATCATGCAATATTGGCTTGTGTATCGTAGAATTAGTCCGTTTGTAGTTAGTGTACGACTTTGTGGACCTTCTTTGATAATTACATGGTTTGTATAAGAGCATTTGGCAGATATTTTCACTTGGGTTTATTGTTTTCGTCTTTAGGCAAATGACCTGAAATCTCCACCAACACCCAAGGCGGAAGCCATCAAGAGGAGGGCTTCGTCAGCGTCATCTACTGCTGAGTCAGACACAGAGTCACGGAGAAGTCGGAACTCACAGTCACGTGACTCTGACTCAGAAACGGCCCCAGCCAAACGAACGAAAACCCACACAATAGATTCCGACTCTGAAACTCCAACACCAAAGAAACAACCTAAACCAGGAATATTTTCACCATCAAAACCAGAGGTAAAGATCTGTATCTTCACATGGGCTGGAAGATGAAGCAATTGTCTAAAACTGACCCCCTAGAATAGGTGTCCCTCCCCCCCATACACAACCTAATGACCCTGTGGGGATTCCAGGTTAGAATAGGTCCCTAGCAACACAACTTAATGTCCCTGTGGAGATTCCGGGTTAGAATAGGTCCCTAGCAACACAACCTAATGACCCTGTGGGGATTCCGGGTTAGAATAAGTCCCCAGCAACACAACTTAATGTCCCTGTGGAGATTCCGGGTTAGAATAGGTCCCTAGCAACACAATGTAATGATCCTCTGGAGATTCGGGGTCCCTAGCAGCAGAACCTAATGACTATGTGGGGAGTCCAAGTTAGAATAGATCCCCAGCAACACAACCTAATGTCCCCATGTAGATTCTGTTTTAGAATAGGCCCCCAGCAACACAACCTAATGTCCCCATGTAGATTCCTGGGTAGAATAGGTCCCCAGCAACCTATGCTGGTCGCGGGGATTCTGTATTAGAATAGGTCCCCAGCAACCTATGCTGGTCGTGGGTATTCCAGGTTAGAATAGATCCCCAGCAACCTATTCTGGTCGCAGGAATTCCCGATTGGAATACGTCCTCAGCAACCTTTGCTGGTCGTGGGTATTCCAGTTTAGAATAGGTCCCCAGCAACTTATTCTGGCCGCAGGGATTCTGGGTTAGAATAGGCCCCCAGCAACACAACCTAATGTCCCCATGTAGATTCCTGGGTAGAAAAGGTCCCCAGCTTCCCAACCTAATGACCTTGGTGACTTAGTTGATTGGGGGTTGATAAAGTGGTATGTTTCTCTTAACATTAATAACTGGATTGTCTGGTCCTGAGTGCTGTGTTAAAGAAAAAGGAAAGTATTTTGCTATCCTGCTGTATCTGATCCACCAACTTCCCTTTACAGAATTTTGAAGAGAACGAAGCTGATGCAACTGGTGTGTCGGATGCCTTGGGAATGGATGTTGATGATGTCACTGAGAGTGTGTGTATAAAAGATGCTGATAGTAACGGTGAGTACATTGCCACACAGGGTGGGATAAAATATTCTGGTGTTGGTTTTATTTTCTTTCCCCTTCATTTGGTAATTTCAAACCTTAGAAAACAGAACCCTCTTGGGACACAAATATTTCCATGACGGTACACCTTTTGGGTGTAATGCTTGCCGTTTAAGGCGACTATGCTTGTCGTAAAAGGCGACTAACGGGATCAGGTGGTCAGGCTCGCTGACTTGGTTGATGCATGTCATCGATCCCAATTGCGTGAATCGATGCTCATAATATCAATCACTGGATTGTCTGGTCCAGATTATTTACAGACCGCGGTCATATAGCTGGAATATTGCTGAGCGCGGCGCTAAACAACAAACCTACCAACCAACCAACCTTTTGGGTGTAAATGGCTAAGTGTTCAGGATACGACAGGGTAAATGAAATATCAACAACATGTATAGCATGGCCTTTCTTGTTTTCATTTTGTTATAGAAAAAACAGATATGCTTTGCTCATAATATCAGTCACTGGATTATCTGGTCCTGATCCGGGTTAGAATAGGTCTTCAGCAACCCATACTTGTCATAAGAGACAACTATGCTTGTCGACTAACGGGCAACTAAAACAGGATCATGTGGTCAGGCTTGCTGACTTGGTTGATGCATGTCATCATATCTCAATTGTGTGGATCAATGCTCATGATATCAATCACAGGATTGTCTGGTCCAGACTTCATTATTTACAGGCTGCTGTGATGTCGCTGCAATATTTCTGAGTGCGGCGTTAAACAAGTTATAAGAGAACCTACACATGATCAGACTTAAGAGATCCTGATTAATTAACTAATATTAAAGGACTCAAGGAATCCATTGCAGTGATACCTGATCATACCTGTTTAATGAATACAAAGTTGATTTTGTCTCTTGTTTGTCCTTCAGGTGAAATAGGGCAGAGAGTGGAAGCATATGTAAATAATAAATGGTGAGTATGTGTGACTTCGTTGTGAAAGTGTTGACATCCCATCTTTTTATTCCTACAGTTGAGGTTCATATAAGAAATTTTAAAAATAGGATGATTAGTTCTTATCTGTTTTGTCCTCGGCCCTGATATTGCTGGAAGGGGTGTAAAACCATACTCACTCACTCTTATCTGTGTAGTCCCTTGCCCTGATATTGCTGGAAGCAGCGTAAAACCATGCTCACTCACTCAATCTTATCTGTATGGTCCCCAGCCCTGATATTGCCGGAAGGGGTGTAAAACCATACTCACTCACTCACTCACTCTTATCTGTGTAGTCCCTAGCCCTGATATGCAGGAAGCAGCGTAAAACCATGCTCACTCACTCACTCACTGTTTTCTGTGTGGTCCCCTGCCCTGATATTGCAGAAAGCAGCGTAAAACCATACTCACTCACTCACTCTTATCTGTATGGTCCCCAGCCCTGATATTGCCGAAAGCGGCGTAAAACCATACTCACTCACTCACTCTTATCTGTGTAGTCCCTAGCCCTGATATTGCAGGAAGCAGTGTAAAACCATGCTCACTCACTCACTCACTGTTATCTGTGTGGTCCCCTTCCCTGATATTGCAGGAAGCACCGTAAAACCATGCTCACTCACTCACTCTTATCTGTATGGTCCCCTGCCCTGATATTGCCGGAAGCAGCGTAAAACCATACTCACTCACTCACTCACTCTCATCTGTGTAGTCCCCAGCCCTGATATTGCAGGAAGCAGCGTAAAACTATGCTCACTCACTCACTCACTGTTATCTGTGTGGTCCCCTGCCCTGATATTGCAGGAAGCAGCGTAAAACCATGCTCACTCACTCACTCACTGTTATCTGTGTGGTCCCCTGCCCTGATATTGCAGGAAGCAGCGTAAAACCATGCTCACTCACTCACTCACTGTTATCTGTGTGGTCCCCTGCCCTGATATTGCAGGAAGCAGCGTAAAACCATGCTCACTCACTCACTCACTGTTATCTGTGTGGTCCCCAGCCCTGATATTGCAGGAAGCAGCGTAAAACCATGCTCACTCACTCACTCACTGTTATCTGTGTGGTCCCCAGCCCTGATATTGCAGGAAGCAGCGTAAAACCATGCTCACTCACTCACTCACTGTTATCTGTATGGTCCCCTGCCCTGATTTTGCAGGAAGCAGCGTAAAACCATGCTCACTCACTCACTGTTATCTGTGTGGTCCCCAGCCCTGATATTGCAGGAAGCAGCGTAAAACCATGCTCACTCACTCACTCACTGTTATCTGTGTGGTCCCCTGCCCTGATATTGCAGGAAGCAGCGTAAAACCATGCTCACTCACTCACTCACTGTTATCTGTATGGTCCCCTGCCTTGATATTGCCGGAAGCGGCGTAAAGTGGACGCTTTTCCTTATGAATTCTTTATAGAACCTTCAAAAGGTACAATGTAAACTGTTCTATGAAGGTTTGACTTGACAGCAGTGTGGGTATTTCTGACCTCCTGATTTAACATTGAAGGTACCCGGGAGTGGTTGTTAAAGTCAACGCAGCAGAGGCCAAATGGAAAGTAAAGTTCGACAACAACCAGAAGGATAAATATGATAAATGGTAAGCGTTTTGTTTCATCTTCTTCCATAGTCTCTCTGTTGTGCCAGGATCTGCTGATTGTTGGTTCCGAGGCCAGATTCACATTATGCTTGGCATCCTTGAACTGTCGGCACCTTACCATTCTTGTTGAAAGTCAATAGTCTTGAGGGTGGCCCAGTGAATTGCATCCTTCAGGTGTGCTAGAAACCCATGATTTTAGGTTCTAATCCCAGATTTGCCCTGATAATGTGTCAAGGTTTGTCTGTGCCATACCCTGCTGATTGTCAGTGGTCCTGAGGGACATGGGGGACCAGTCATCTAAGGTGCCACAATTTCCTGTGCAGAGGTTCGTCCTTCACTTGTTCCAGAAACCTATGATCATGGGTTCAAATCCCAGATTGGCTCTAATGATATTTCTAGGTTTGTTGGGCGGTCGGGTAGCCTAGTGGTTAAAGTGTTCACTCGTCAAGCCGAAGACCCAGGTTCGATTCTCGACATGGGTGCAATGTGTGAAGCCCATTTCTGGTGTTCCCCACTGTGATATTGCTGGAATATTGCTAAAAGCGGTGTGAAACCATACTCACTCACACTCACTCTAGGTTTGTCAGCGCCATATCCTGCTTGTGGGTTTCCGTGACTTGCATGACTTGGGCTATCCTTCCACAATCAGCTAACAGGCCGCAATGGGGATTCTGGTGGTGTAACTATATCACGATACATTCATGACATTATTACAACTTATGATGGTGTAAATACATGTGAACGGTAACAGAAACTGTTCAAACTCCAGCTTTTGCATATTCTCTTGTATTTCATGGTTTGACATAAAGAGCGTAACATTCACAGTGCCTTCTACCAATATGTTTCTGCCCTACAATTTCCTGTCTTTGATCTCTGAAGTTTAATAACAAATGAATCAGGGTTGTGATTCACCTGCAAAATATCAACTTGGGAAATGAAAGCCCTGTATCGGGATACGAATCATATCGCACCCATGGTATTGGGATATGTATTGTATCGTACCCATTAAGATCTGGGGTAGAATGGGGTCTTCAGCAACCCATGCTTGCCGTAAAAGGAGACTATGCTTGTCGTAGGAGGCGACTAAAGGGATTGGGTGGTCAGGCTCACTGACTTGTTTGATGCATGTCATCGTATCCCAATTGCTTGGATCGATGGTCTTGATGTCGATCACTGGATTGTCTGGTCCAGACTCGATTATTTACAGACCGCCGTCATATAGCTGGAATATCGCTGAGTGCGGCATTAAGCAACAAACAAACAAATGCTATGTTTTGCGACCCCATCTTATCATTACACCTCCAGGGGATTCCGGGTTATAACTGGTCTCCATCAACCTGTGCCTATTGTGAGAGGTGACTTATGGCTTGCGTGATCAGATTCATCTAATTGGTCAAGACTTGTTTATAGGCAGTCTGTGTCCGTGGGACACCTACCGGTACACAATTTTATTCTGCTGCAAAGTGAGATTGACCAATCAGAGAGCAGCACTACTGACCCCATATAAGCCTGTATACCATCAGTAAAAATCCAAGATGGTTGTTACTGACGTAATATGAGACTGTATACCGTCAGTTTGAGCCATTTTGGATTTTCGAACACCCACCTCACATATTTTACATAAAAATTGTTGTACAGAAATTCGTTATTTGACACTGTTTTGTGTTTTAGTATCATTAATTTTTTATGTGGAAGGACGTTAATGTTGTTTTTTTATCACGTTCGTGACTTTAATAAAGACTATATAAAGTTAAATATATCAACAAGGTTTGGCCCCTGAGGTTTGAAGAGTAGTCTCCCTTTGACCCTTAACGTCTTAGGTTAGAAGTGTCAAGTTTTGAGTTTTAAGTTTTGACATGACATGTGCGACAAAGATACCAAATAGTGTAAACTTTTCAGCATAATAAATTTGTTATGGTGTCTTCAGTTGCCGTATATGGTGTCATATTAGGAGAGCAGAAAAATATTAGCGATACTTTTCTGCTAACCTAATATGACACTGTATACGGCAATTAAAGACACCATAACTGATAGTATTGACTATTTGCTGATGTTCTGGTAGATGTCACTGAACAATGTGGAAAACAGCTCATGCCTTGTGAGTTGTGCCCCTTATCGGTGCCTGGATACACTGGCGTTGGTTCAATGTCCAAATCATGATCCTTGTCTATTGGTACCGTACCATTGCTCATTGTGACTGTATATCATGCCATGCGGTCTATCATGTGGCTCTTTTCCCACTATAGGCAGTCATTATATACTGCTCCACTTTGATAAGGATATCTTTATGTAAAAAATAGGGGCACAGGTGGCCCAGTCGTCTAAGGCGCCGCGATTCGCTGTGCAGAGTTGCGTCCCTTGGGCACACAAGAAACCTATGAATGTGGGTTCGAATCCCGGTTTGCCCTGATTATGTTTCTAGGTTTGTCAGCACCGTGGGTTTCACCGAAGTGGTAAACATCTGAGACTTGCATCACTTCGGGCTTTCCCCCCACATTAAGCTGACACGCCGTGATATAACTGGAATACTGTTAAAAGCGGTGTAAAACCCAACTCACTCACTTACGTTATGTGATGATACACAGAACTGATTCTCGTAACATATCTGTTGGTAAAGTGGTGGTACGCCCAAGTCGTCACTGATCAAGTGGGGATTTTATGTATGCTGTTGGGGATGTGATATGACCATGAGTTGTCTCCCCTTGTCTTGGCAATCAATAGCAGGGATGGAAATGAACCAAGAACATCTACTAGCCGAATAGTGATAACATGGAGCAATACCCACCACAATGTTTGAAATTCTACTCATTCTACTCGTAAGGACAAATACTTATAACATTAACAAAACCGGTCCGGGCAAGCAGGCTAGTGCTACCTTCCATCACTGAATTGCGACAAGGTACCATGATGTACATGATATATCGTTCTTTAGTTCTATAACGCCCATTTCATACAAGGCTCAGTTTCCCAGTTGTGTCATGCAGAGAAATCATTTGATGACAAAAAAATAATAACTACATGTGAAGCTATTCCTAGTCTCTCAAGCAGATATTTGAAATTGGGAAGTTATGAAGAGATGGTCAATATTCCAATGGAGTTATCTCCCTTAGACCATTTCACCAAAAGAACAGCATTACTGTTGGTTTTATATCTCTATTCGTTGTGCAGTCAATAGCATCTCTGTGTCAGCAACATCCTCATCTAGTAAGAGTTATGTAGAGGGGTAGCAATACATTGCTTGTGATGTAAGGATCGCGATATCATACATAACCCAGTACAGTGGTACAAGACTTCCTGATTCAGTTGTTTAACTACACTTGCACATTAAAGGCTCTCATGCCATGGACGTTCGCCATTTGGGTCATGTGTAGTTAGGGATTTATCTAGACCTGCTTAGATATCTATTTTTAGACACTTTGTCTTGAACCAAAGTGAAATGTTGAATATGATGTTGAAAGAATTTCAAGCAGGTTGTTTTCATACATTTTCTTATTTGTTTTAAGTTTGGACTGACAAAAATTTGAGGGGACTTGTAATTTTTAGAGTTGCCAGTCCACCGGGACTTGCAGTTTCAAAAGCCAGCGGGAACACTGTTAGTACTGATTATCTCCACAAAAAAGAAAGTAGCGTTTATTTCATGACATATATCATAGCGGTAGAATCATATCACTCAGGTTTCAATAGTCAGCAGTAATCTATTATGACTTGAACTATTCTTTGAGTTCTAGTAAAGGCTGAATATGTACAACTTGTAAAAAACTTAATACAAATGATCTCAATATCTGAGGTTCCAAAACCAAAACCTGAACAGAAGAAGATAATAATTACATTGGATGTGGTGTCTGTTGTGTCAGTGGCTGCCAGTGAACGCAGTTGTAGGTAGAGGGAGATAACTGTGTATGACTTCTGACTTTCAGATGGCAGGATTCGATAAAAAATTGTAACATTTGCCTTCAGAGCAGGAGATGATGAAAGACGAGTTAGTTTATCTTTGATGCCATGGTCCAATGATCTTTGAATTTCTGTGAAAGAGAAAATATTTAATGCAATAAGAGGTTCTTTCAGAACATTGAGTTTCATGTAAAGTAAATGTTTTTGGTGAACAAAATTCTCTAAGTATAACATAGGTATTAATGTGATATGAACAGTCTCAGTCTAGGGTACTGGGAGCCATTCCACAGGGCGATCTTAGCCCAAGGACAATCGTAACTCCCTTTCTTTAACACTGACTTTACGACAGTCGTAGCCCTAAGATCGCTTTGTTGAATAGGACCCTGGTGCTTATTTCTATCACTGACTGAAATATCCTCTGCTAGTCAAAAGAGCCGAAAATGGCCATTGATTCTATCATGGTCGGATGTGAGGTCACAGGCGCTGCTGCCATCAGTGTGTGAAATATTTTGTTCAACGTCATTACCCAGGCAGGCAAGCAGGATGTTTTACTGGCCAATTTAAGATTTAAGTAGCCCTCTAGTTTACCCAATCATATACAAGGAGAACATGGTAGCAAACAGAGAAATAATTACCGTATTCGACATACCGTATTCGACGTAATACGCGCCCAGGGCGCTCACAAAATTAGAAATAGGGGGCTCTTATTAGAATATTATTTTGGTGAAAAAAACAGAGATGAAAGATAAATTTCGTGGTTTATGCTGACAGCCTGAAATGTTTATGTACGCGGATATATTTAATTTAATTTAATTGCCAATAATAAAGGGTGCATATATCACACGAGTGCGTATTATACGCGAATAGAGGAAGGAAGCGGTGCGTAACATATGCGAATAGGGGTCGGAAGGGGTGCTAATTGGGTTTGTTCACTAGCCAATATATCAGCAAATCTCGCCGTGGGCGCTTATTACGTCGAATACGGTAATTAGTGCCTCGCTCTAATAAGACCCCACAGCGATATTTGCTGATATAAAAAAAGTGAACAATCCCAATTAGCACCCCTTACGATTGATCAATGTACACAAGACTTATTTATTCGTGTATAA